GGGTACCCCGTGGCGTATACCTCCTGTATCTCCTCTCTTGAACAATAGGACGCGTTTTGTTAATAGCTGAGACGTGTGTTGGTACACGTGAGGAGGTGGATAAATCAGATAGATCATCCCTCAATTGTCTGAGGTCCTGGGACAGTTTTTCCACAGCTGAGATGATGGAAGGGGTGAGATTGTCTTCGAACTCTCGGAGTTTATGAACCATTTCATCCACTGTTAGTGGTACTATGTCATTCCAGGTTACTGTTGCCAATGAGTGGGCATATGATGACGGTGCATTCCGTGTAAGTTTTCGCCACATGGGTCGTGTACATTCGACTTCATCTGGATCTATGGGTGCATCCCGTTATTCGGCTTGATGTGATAGATCATCTCTACGATGTCTGATTCCCTCAGAGACTGGATGCCTTTGTCTATAGTAGTTCACTTGGCTGAAGGACTCATAACATCTTCCTTGCAAGGAAACCTTTCTTTCACAGCTGCCAAGAGCCGCTTCCAAAGACTGGGGACTTTTTCTCTCTTGCAATTGCTTTGTCAATTCCCCCTTCTCTAGCAAGTGATCCCAGCTGCTTGGCTTCTGTACCTTCTAGTTCGTGACCATCGGCCCCATTGTCCCAGCATCGGAGTAACCAGGTGATGATGTGCTCCCCTGGTTGACGGGTAAAATCTTTGTGCATATTCCGTAGCTCAGTTGAGGTCCGAGGTCGAGCAGTTACCTCTTCTTCATCATGTGATGATGACTCCTGATCAAATGCTAGACCGGGTGGTGAATTCATTGGTTCTTCATCTTGCTTCACCCTTCTTGCCTCTTTTTTGCTTGTTCTCTTGCATACAGGGACAAGTGATATTGGTACGAATTGGTCCTCTGGTTTGGCTGCAGTGATTATCACTGTGGTTTGAGTAGCTACTGTACTTGTTGCTGGGGGTGGTGTAGCTGCTGTGCTTGGAGCTGGGGTAACCGCGCTGTCTGTTGCAGTCAAAGTTTGAGCAGTTGCTGTACTTGCCACTGGGGTAGCTGAGCTGTTCATTGCAGCCAAAGTTTGAGTAGCGACTGTACTTGTCGCTGGGGGTGGTGAAGCTGCTGTGCCTGGAGCTGGAGTAGCTGCGCTGCCTGTTGCTTTGCTCTCAGATCCACCGACATTCTTTTCCTTTTGAAGGTGCTGGATAGTCTTGAACAAGGCCCTGTAAGCATAGGCCAAGCCCCAGCACGTTGCCATGATTTGTCCCTCTCTGGTATGACCAGAATGACAACACACTTCATTTAAGTGTTTTACTAATCTTCTGGATTTTGCAGTTTTTTTGCAAACACTGTGTTTGCAGTAGTGAAATTCCAAAGTACTGGAGGGGCCCACTGACCTAGATACTTCCCATACTATCCCACACACCCTGCCACTCATGACTGTCCAGCCTCAGGGAAAATCTCTCGGTCCTCCTACATTGTCGTTTGACCCCAGACAAGACCCAAACCTGACTCTGCTTAACTCTTGAAGTCAGTCGTGGGCAAAACACACTCTGTATGCATGCTAGCATGGTGATTCCCATCACAATCAGCAAACAAGTCTCAACAGCATTAAAAGGCCATTCAAAAACTTCAAAACTCTCAAATGTAAATGGTCTGGGGGGAGGACTGGGAGGGTAAAAGGATGTCTCCTTCAGAGGTTGAGCACCTGAGAAGGAGAAAAAAGATGTGTAATTGCTAAGCACTTCTATTATATACCTCCCAAAGTATAAAGGTGGTGACCACACTGGGAACATAAGCCAGATCAGTTTCATGATCAATGATTCTATTGTATTACAAGTCATTACCATAAAGTACAATGAGACAAAAACCTTAGCCCAAGCCCCACACTTGAAAAACACTAATACAGCAAGTACCAGATGGAAGTAAGATACGACATACTGAAACTGTGAGATCAAGAGGAACAACCCTGAGAGCCAATACATCAGCATTGTGACGACTGACTATTAATCCGGTCAGATCTGTCGGTATCTCAACCCCTCGTGCTCCATGTTGGGTGCCAGAAAGAACTGTCGTGGTTTAAACCCTAGCCAGACAGCTTGTTCACTCACTCCCAGTGAGTGGTGCCGGGCTGAGAGCTATCGAGGCTGCCCCCCCACCCCACCCCCCCACCCCACCCCCACCCCCCTGGGGCTCTCCCCTTCCCCGTTCCCAGAGGGATGGGGAGGAGGATCAAAAGAGTGCAACTCCCACGGGTTGAGACAAGAACAGTCCAGCAACCAATGTACAACACAAAGCACCACCGCTACCGCTACTACCAACGACAACAATGATAAGAGAAAATAACAAGGGAAGAGAATACGATACCACCGGCCAAGAAGTGAGTCCCACCCGGAAGCCCGTGTCCTTCCGGGTAACTCCCAGTTACCCCCCCACCCCAGGCATGGCGTGCTGTGGTATGGAATACTTCTTTGGCTAGCCTGGGTCAGGCGCCCCGTCTCTGCTTCCTAACGGCTTCCCCTCCTCCCTGGCAGAGCATGAGCCTCACAAAGTCCTTGGTCAGGGCAAACATCACTTAGCAACAACCGAAAACATCGGTATCACCAGCACTGTACCCAGGCTAGAAGTCAAAACACAGCACTGCACCAGCTACCACAAAGGAGAAACATGACTGCTAACTGCTACTGCTGAACCCAGGACAGCATGGCATTCCTTTTGGCACAAAAGTACCAAAATACCTGTAAAGCTGAAAGTTAAGCATTGTGGCTTTTTTAAAGACAATAATTTTAACACTAAAAGCATAGAACCTTTTAAAACTGATACATTGGCTTTGTCAAAACAAAAACTTCAGCTAGGTGAAGTTCAGAGTCATCAAATACTGAGATTGTTCTGAAGTAGTAAAAAACTGGAGCCAAGGCCTTACACGGTGGTATTTCTGAATTAATGCAGCTATTTTGAAATGCAAGAACTTTGTTGATAATATCTATCTAGATTCAGGCAGTTGTATTTGAATAGTGATCCAGTTGGCTTACCATTGTTATCAACCCAGACACATTTTGCTTCTTTCCCTTTTTCCTGAAATAGGGTCGCATGACCATTTTGTGCACTTTGTTGCTTTGTGCATTTTTAAGATAGCCAAACCCTTTTCTGAAGATTTCTCCCAGTTTAGCAGCTTTCAACTACTGAATTCTCTGCAGGGTATTACATGCAGGTTAACTGCAATTACCCACATCTTGGTCACACAACCACAGAGATGCTGATTGGAAGAGGCTTCTGGAGTCCAGCCTCCTCCTCAGAGAATGACTATTGCAGCAGGTCACCCACGTCTTTGCCTCACCACTCTTCCAAAACCTGCAAGAATGGAGATCCAGCAACCAGGGTTACTTTCCTCTTTCAGTCTTCTGCATACATTTGTTCTTTGGTTGTGAACATACTGATCTTCAACCCACCACACTTCTAAGAAAATGCTGTCTGCTGTAGGCATGACAAGGACACAGCAAGATGCCTCTCAGTTGTACTGTTTCATAAACTGATGGAGCTCTGTCTTCCCCTTCATGCCCATCTTACTTTGTGGAAGACCATTTCTCCATCTGTCCACAGCCAGTGAAATTACAGACTGCCAATGTAATGAGCCCCTAGCAGTCATCAGTTCTCCAACAGAGTAAGTCTTTAATGCCAGTTGATACTTAAATCTTAACAAACAAAGCCTCAGCATCACACACCAAACCCCTTTCATTTCTCCTACTACAATTCCCATTCCCTTTAGGAGAGTCACTAAGGTTTCTGACTAATGCTAATCACTTGTGCCTTGCTAACAATGGCTTTAAGTGGAATCAGGTGGCTCTGAGAGTATTTTTCCACTTTTTTAGTAGGAAAGATTTCCAGATTCCTGGAAACCCACTCCTTTCTGTGCCCTCACTGGGTCCTCATCTCACAGCCAGCCTGTTTTGTACCACTGCTAAGTACATACTATGTTTGGGTGTTTTATCTCCTAGAAAGGCTGTGTAACTTATATTATCACCTTGGAGTAAGTGGTGGTGTGAAAAAACACCACCCAAAAAGGCAGTACATCTATCAGTTGGGACACAGGGGCCAAGCTGAAAAGCTGCTTGGGATCTGTGGCCTTGTGCAGCATTATCTGCTGTCTCCTCCCTGCGTCTGTAACCACACGGCTTCTCCATGTTCAAACCCACTCCCATCAGTCCCCTGGTAAGGTGGCAGGAAAACACAAATGTCACCATGACGAGAAAACAGTACACATCCAGGTCCCCCTACTGCATAGGGAGAACTTCTTTAACAACAGTGAGGGAAGAACTCATTTACACACCTGAGGTCCCGCATTTCCTACCATGTTTCATGAAAACACATGTACTCATCCACCTTCTTCCCTCCAGGTATGAATTACATGGAGAAATTAAGAACAGGCACCGTGTTGTAAAGCACCAGGTACATATCTTTCCCCTAGGGAAACTCTAAATGAGGCAGTAATTCCAAAACAAAGTGACTTCCTATCTCCTCTCCCATCTTGCACAGACAGCATGATGTCCTCACATGGACCTGCTCTGGGCCCCGTTCCTACCAAAGACAAGTCCTACACATCCCACTTCATCTGCTTTTCTTCTGCACTATAAGTTAACCTTGACAATGTGATGTCAAAGAACTTTACTGTAAATACAACAATTACAGGATGGTTTGGGTTGGAAGGAACCTTAAAAGATCAGTGAGTTCCAACCCCTGCCACAGGCAGGAACACCTTCACTAGACGACGTTGATTAAAACCCCCTCCAACCTGGCCACCTGATCAAAGTTAACCTAAATAGGGACCACAGAACAATTGTGTTCTTTGAAAACCCTGCGGTGGGCGAGAATCCACCTCTGGACAACAGTCTGCTGTGAGCTACTGGGTATCAGGCTTCGGAGCGGCTGTACCGGTGACTAGGCAAAGCCTCCTCCTGCCAGGTCTCACTTCCCCGGGCAAGCACGAGCGCGACATCCCGACGAGGGGCCCATAGCAGTGCAGCTCCCCCGCCCAGAGATGGACGCTGTCACGACGGCGCTGCAGCGCTTCGGCGGCATCGCTCGCCCCACCCAGGAAGCGCCCTTTGCCCGCGGAGCAGGAAGCCGCTACTGGCGCACGGCCTGGCGGGAGCGGGTGGCTGCAGGTAGGCACGGCGGGGCCAGGCCGGGTCTCCCGACACCCGCTGCGCTGGGGGACGGGGCGGCACCGGGGAGCTGGGATGGGGTGCCCCAGCCCACGCGGGGCTGTGCTGCGCAGCTCCTGGGGAGCCGGGCGTGAGGCCAGCGTCAGAGTCTTTGTCTTTGGCCCTGTGCAGGAAAGAGATACTCAAAAGAGAAGCAGAAATGCAGCTCGAAGAAGGGGAGGGCCGGCTAGCCCCTGTCTCGGTGGGCTCTGATGTAGCGGCCACCCTTGTCTGCTCACTTCCCTTACATGTTATGCAGCTCCCCCTCTCCATCCTCCTGCCCGCGAGCAAACGCTGGTCCCTCCCCATTTTCCACCCAGTGCTTCTTACGGTTATTACAGGAAGCTTTACACCCCTGCCACTGCCTTCTTCCCCCAAAACTACACCACACTTGCTCCCCACACACCGTTGGGGGTGCCCCAGCAGTGCAGCCCACGGAGGCCCTCCTCTGTCTGTGCTTCAGCACCCCTGGCTATACTCAGGGCTGAGCAGGCACAGGCAAGCACTGCAGGTTATGAGTACATCTGATGGTACAGGGAAGGGGGCTTTCATCAAACCCAAAAGAAACGCAGCTACATAAGTAACTGTTGTCTGTGATAATACCTTCACCTTTTGCTTTTTACCGCAAGAATTATCTATCCCAGATAATAGCTGGGAAGAGAAAGATCTGAACACCCTGTTCTGGATTGCAGGTTTCTGCTGTCATGCCTGGAGTGAGGATGCCTAGAGTGTGTAGCCACCAAGGGCACTGCAGGAGCATGAGAAGCTGAAAGTATGGAGATCTGCACTAGGATGAGTTCCATAACCTCCACAGCTTGGTACAGCCATGGGAGGAATGTAGAGCTGAGTGGTCACAAGAGAAAATAAGTAGCCAAGGTAAAGAACATAAATTGTAGGAGGCAGCTACAAAATCTAGATAATACTATTGCAGTACTAAAGCCAAGGCTGCTGGAACAGGACAGGGGATTTGCAGTTCTCTTTCTGGAGGCCTAAATCAGATACCCTTCTGATCCTGTTTTAGTAAAGCTATGGACGGTGCCTGCAGGAGTCCCACACACCCGCATACACAGATGTTCTTGCCATCTTGGTTCCCACATTCAAGCAGTAACACAGTATGCCCAGGGATATGCTCCTGCTAGTAAGGGATGGAATCCCTGAAAGAAGAACGTTCCCCTTGTTAATAAGGTTTGTCCCTTCCTTTCACAGGGACATGAGTCTGATCATGGGAAAGGACAAAACTTCCTTGCTCCAGACCAGCCTGTTAATTGTATTTGGGGTTATCTGCTTTCTGCTGAGCTGGTGTAGCAAACCTGAGCGTAGCAGCAACCCAAGCCAGGAAATCTTTCCAGGATCACAAAGGAATTATTCTTTCTACCTTGTCTGCTTGCTTAGATATTTCCTTGGATGGCAGCTGTTGGGCATTTGTTAGATGTTGAAATGCTGAGGGCTTTGGGCTCCCGAAGTTCAGGTTTGCTGACAGCTTTTGGAGGGAAGCTTTGCTCTTTGAGGTCAGCTGCCTGGAGGGAAAGTCTGTGTGTGGACATGCTTTTGACTCCTCCAGCTTTGGAGTGGGGCTGTCTTGGTATATATCACATAAGACAGCTTGGTCTGGCTTGTAGTGCCGGACTGTTGCAGCAAGGAGCCTCGAGAGTGGCAAAGTCCCAAGAGCTGTAGGGCTGCAGAAAGCAACCTCCCTTCATATATTGGCTTGGAACTGCTGGAAATGATCCATCTGCAGGGGTGGTCCACTTCAGCATTCAGCAGATGTTTACAGTAGGGACTTACTTAGATTGTTAACTTTTAGTAAGGTTTTAAGAAGGCCTTTCTTCTTTTGCTAAGGCTTCATTTTTGTGTGTCTGATTTACTATTTTTTTTTCGTTATGGTTCTGCAGTTCAAGATTGCAGTGTTTTTCTTCTCCTTGCTCCCCTTCTTTCTGTCCAGCTTTGCCCCATAGAATAAAAGACTTCAAGAGTGGTGGTTTTGTAATTGTAGGCATCCAAGGTCTCAAACTTCCCTTCATCTGAGTTCTCTCCTTGATTCTGGCACTATCTAATCCCTTATCACCCGCTACCTATTGTAAAGTAGCTGTTGGTGAAGGATGGAATGGTCCAGGAGCAGGTACCCATTCAGTCTGCAGTGTTGGTTTGCACCAGTGGCCATCTGTCCAGTTAGTCCATCCTGTTTGGAGCTCGACTAGCTGTCCAGAGATATCAGTTGTCCAGAGAGATTGGTAGCTTGAAGCAGTGTTCAGGGGGTGTACTTTTGCAGTGATGCAAACTAGTAAGAACCTATAAAGATTGAAAGGGGTGGGGGAAAGCAATGTCTTTAATGCTTTGAAAATATTCCCATAAGTGATTTCAGCTTTAGCCATGATGCCATCAGCCTCTGGTCCTAGATACACCCACATGGTATCCTTTCCCTGCCATCTTTGATTCCTGCTTCTTAATATAAAGTGACTGTTTTCTCTGTTCTTCTGCATTGTTTTTTTTCCTGCAGCAACTGCTAATGCCTGTCCTCTTGATACTAACTGCTGTTGCTTACTGTTTGTTTGGCTTTGGCCTTAAAATAGGAAATCCCGAAGGAAAAGTTCTCATCTTTGGTGCTGACAGTGTTTGTAAGAGCACCCTGCCCAACAGCTGCAACCATGACAGTTGCTGGAGCTCAGTAGGGATGCCAGGCTGGGAACCAACAGAATCCAGCTAGAGTAGACAAGAAATCATATTGCCATCATGTTTTGTTGGGTTTTGCTGCCTCAGCCTGAGAGTCTTGAAAGAGAAGAAAGAGATGAGATAGCAAGTAAGAAAATCAGGTTCTGGTGACTAAAGAAATTTAAAAATTTCCATTTAAAATAATCTTAGGAGAGTAATGAGTCTTTTGGCTGTCATTAAAGAACTGTAAGTGTGGCTTGGCTGGGTTTTGCTCATTGCTTACATTGGTATCTAGCATTGCAGTCAACCAATTCTGAGTCCAGCACGTCTGGTCTATGTCCTAATGCTTATGATAAGAGGAAACCTTGAGTCTCCTCTAAGGCAAGCCTCTAACTCCAGGTACCTCAGTAGTGTACAGAATGTCCATAAATGTTGTTGCTCAGTTGACTTCATTCTTTCAGGCAACCACTCTGCTTGCCCTCCATAATCAGCAGGGGCAGTAGATTTTAAGACACATGAAAAGCTCTTGCTGAATATTCAACTAAGATTACTTTTGTTTGCTTTTTGTAAGGATTCCTGGTTGCTGAGCCTGATGTAACTGCACAGATGGACCACGAAGAAGAACAAGATCCTGAGGCCTCAGAGGAGACACACATGGGTGAGGAATAAGTTAGATCAGATTATAAAGACAGAGCAAGCAAAATGCTTTCTGAATTGCTTCAGCAGCCATTTTATTTCATGCAGCTCATATTAAGACCTCTTTTCCCCTCAGGGCAGGCAGACAGCCTTTGACAGCCTGCTGTTAAGAGTATGTATAGGAAGGTGGAGTATTAGGAAGACAAAATGTGAAGATTTCTTGGGGGCAAGGAGACACCTGTAGCATAGCCTTTGGCTCTACTGTTTGTGGCACGTCAGTCTTCCTTTTACTGCTCCTCCTACATAGTGCAGATGAGGCTTCCTAGGGTAACAGCTTGCCCGTTCTCTGCTGTGCCACTCCCCACCAAGAATCACAGTTACAGTTATACTTTTCTTCCAGATGATGAGCTAGGTCCCCTTCCAGATCACCTTGCAAGCACAGATCTGCAGGATGTGTTGGCAGTGGGATCCAGGGGAGGAGAGGAACAGTTGGGAAACAGCCATGGAAGTCGGCATGATTCCGCAGGAGCTCAGCAAGGTGACTGTGAGGAAGAAGGGGTGACTAAGCTGCCTTCTTCTAATATCAGCCTGGTAAAAAAATGGGACAGAAGGACATCAGCAGCCTCACAGGGCACTCCTTGTGCAGGGCTACCCACCGTCCGCTCTGAGTGCGGCAAGGGCTTCAGTCGGAGCATCCATCTCATCCAGCACCAGCGAATGCACACTGGGGAGCGCCCCTTCCTGTGCAGGGAGTGTGGCAAGGGCTTCAGCCAGAGCTCCCATCTCATCCAGCACCAGCGGGTCCACACGGGCCAGAAACCCTACACCTGTGCTGAGTGTGGGAAGAGCTTCAGCCAGAGCTCTAACCTCCTTAAGCACCAGCGCATCCACACCGGGCTCAAGCCTTACATGTGCAGCGAGTGTGGCAAGATCTTCAGTGACAGCTCCACCTGCATCAAGCACCAGCGCATGCACACAGGTGAGCGGCCCTACAAGTGCCCAGCCTGTGGGAAAAGCTTCAGCCAACACTCCCATCTCCTTCAGCACCAGCGAACCCATGATGGCATTCGGCCTTACGCCTGTGGGCAGTGTGGCAAACATTTTGGGCAGAGCTCTGACCTCATTAACCACACTCGTACCCACACTGGTGAGAAGCCTTACAAATGCAGCCAGTGTGGCCGGGGCTTCAGTGGCAACTCCAACCTCATCAAGCATACCCGTATCCACACTGGGAAGCAGCCATACCACTGCACCCAGTGTGGGGAGAGCTTTCGTTTCCAGCCCCAGCTGGTGCGCCACCAGAAGCACCACACGGACTAGCTGGTGGAGTGGAGAAGGCTTTGTGGACCACAGGCAGCTACCTGGTGTTGGGAAGATGCACAGCTGCTCCCTGGACACTTCATATGGGACATGAGTTTTGTGGAAGGGAGCCGTCAGAGCCTTGTCCCCTTGTGTTCTGGGTAGCTCTGAGCACTGTCCAGGCACTTCAGCAGAGGGAGGCTGCTGCAAAACAAGCTATGTTCACTGTGATGCAGAGGTTGTTCTGAGCCCCTCTCTTGGGGATAGGGAGAGGAAAGGTGCTTATATGGTACGGTATATTCAAGGCCAGAGAAGAGAACATAGGACCGGTGTCTTTCTCTGTTATTTCTAGCAGGGAATGGTTTTTATCCCAGTAAAAAAGAGCTAAAATCTGTACCTGTTTGCTGTACAAGCTGCCTGGGTTTTACCACATGGTAAGGCCACAGCCTGGGATGATCACTCCCTTTAGAATCCGCATTTCTCACTTGTCAGTGGTCTTGGGTTTGGGTGACATTAGTACCTATTTATTTTAAAGTCCCACAAGACTGCTGCGTGCCTCAGCATACATGTGCTTTCTTGGGATGTCATCTATGGAGCAGTATTTTTGCTGGGTTGTATAGTTGTTACATTGACAGTTGCACAAATGACAGCTTACTCCTCAGTATTAATTAAGTAAATTAACATCCTTATGGGTATTTCTCTCAGATTCTTGTTTAGGTACTTTTGTGGGTGGCAGTTTATGAATGTTTTTTATAAGGCTCCTAAAAGTATTTAGGATTACTTTTTTGATTGTGGTGGTCTAATTGTCAGTTGATGAGCAGAAGAAGGATGACATTTGAAAAATAAGCTACGTCAAACTTTGATTTTATATTAAATGTTAAACATTTTTTCTTGCATAGAACTTTTTAACTCAAATGCCATGGTTTTGTGTTGTTACTGATTATGAGGAGGTAATTATGACACTGATTTCTAGAATTCAGGTGATATTTTTGCTAGTGGTTTCGACATTTTCAAATAATGACTTTCTAAGAAATCTAGGAAAGGCAGGATTCTGAGAAAGCAGAAGGAACTGACCTCTGAAGAGATCTTCACTTGGAGAATACTACTACTGGGAGTCTGTCCTTTAAAGAAATCCTCTCAGGCAACCGGTTGGTGTGGGGGAGGAGAGGGCTGGCAGTAATAACAAAGATGTTAACATATCTAGCATGGAAGAACTCAGTGTAATGAACGTGGCAGTGTACGCTGAAATGCCTGTTCCACCCACAGAGCCAAACAGAAGAAATTATAGTATGCTTTAGGCAAGAAAATGAAGTGATCAAATCTGTTGTAGAGTTCTTGTTTTTGGCATCCCCGATAGGCCTAATGCTAACAATGAGCTTTCACATGGAGGTGAGCTCCCAGATGGGGGATATCACTAAGGTCAAAGAGACCACCAGCTCAAAGAGCACAAGATTCCTTCAAGCAAGCTGTGAACAGAAGGAATGTGACTGGAATGACTGGCTGAGTAATGTGGATACATCCATATGTCCCTTAGCCACCAGCTGCTGTCACAGAGGGCACAGCTTCATGCTCCATTGGCAGTAGATCTGGTTTGTCATTTGCTCTCACTCTACTCCCACCTTCTCCCCTAGAGCCTGAATTAATACAACTGTGCTAAGTAACTGTTGACACAGCTGTGCTCTAGGTCAGATCTGTAAGATGGTCTACTTTTTTTAAATGGCAGGCTTTGGAGAGTTCATTTTAAGCTGCATTCATCCAATCTAGGCCACAGCCTCACAAGCAGCCCAGTAGACACATAGTTCTTGCAGGTCCTGGTGACCAGCATTGTGCAACTGGTCATCCTTCAGGAGCAATCAGACTTACTGAATGTGGGCTGTTGCAAATGATTTTACTATAGGATATAATATGCTAATATGTTTTGCAGAGCAGATGATCAGGGACTGAGCACCCAGGTTAAATCCCTGGGGCTTATATTATGCACTAGTGTAGGCATAACCTAAGGGTACCAGTCAGCTGAGTGAGATGGGCAATATTCATACACCATTTCTGTCTTGACATTTCACATGCTGAAGCACACCAGCGTGTCGCCCTTCACTTTGCTCCTGTGCATGAATTTAGTTCTTCTCTCCAGGCAGCTGTTATCCTTTTCTCCTCCAGGCTGTCACTACCAGCTGCTTCGCAAAAAACAGTGTCCTCCCTCATTAGCTTAAACAGTTTGCCCAATATTTTGACCATGGCTTCTTTCTGGTTTTCCCATGAATCGGTGTCATTGAAGTACTCAAACAGGACATCAGTTAAGATTGGGCTGCTTCTGAATAGATTTGCAATAGTCTGCAAGTAAAGGTGTGCCATATCCAGAAGTGGGTGGATCTTTCCAGAAATACTGGGGCACTACCCATTCTCTTCCTTTCAGAGGTCTTTGCAGTAGTACAAAACTCAGCTACTACTCTTCAAACACATTTTGAAATGCATGCTGCACATGCTTGAGCATTGAACTTTTAGACTTGGAATTATTTGAAATCCTTCAAAACCCCTTGTTTTTGGGGACTCTATAACTCCAGACTCAGTGATCTGATGATGAAAGTTGGGGCAGTTAGGAATTGTTTCAGCTACAATGCAGCATATTTGCTTAATTAAGAAGCATGTCTCATCAGGATGACAGGCTGTCCATGGAGACCTCCTGATTGTGGAGACCTGATTATTGAGCCTTGTGGCAGTAACTTGCCTTCTACAGCTGTTCATAAGAACCAGCCTAAGTTGCATATCACTGAAACTGGGCAGTGAAATTTTCCACTCAGGCACCAGACTGGTGAAAAGAAGGAAGCCTCAGATCTCTCCTGACAAGTGAAGATGAAAATTACTATATATAAATATATATTTCTATTATAAAAAAAAAAAACAAAAAACACAACAAAACACACCACCAACAACAAACAACATCTCACTCCCCCGGTGCTACCTGAAACATACCTTAGGTTCCAATTCTGTTACCCACACAAGTTCTGTTGCTGGTTGTCAGGTAAAGCCCTGTTTGTTGTGCGGGACCAGGTGCTCTCCTGGTCTCAGCAACTCAGTTCACCAGAGATAAAGGTTCCAAAGTGTGTCAGTGGGTTCTGGCTGCTGGACTGCACCGGGATGTGAGCGTGCAGTGACTTTTTTATTTGAATACTTTTACTTTCTCAGAAGTCCTGACCATTTGTCTATGCTGATAGTTTTAGCTGAAGGTGCTGGGGCTTCGAGTTCTGAAGAAAAATGTTCCAGGTACCAGGCCTGCATATCTTCTCTGCACACGTTTTGTGATAGCAGCTAAGTCCATGCATAACTATTTGTAGGACCTGCATTTTAGGCAGGTATGCCTCAAACTTTTACTGTGCTGGCTTACCCTTTCAAGTCTAAGATTGCCAAAAACTTGAAAAAGAGATGCAGGAAGAGCTTACATACCTAAGGTAGCCTCCATTTTAGCAACCTCACCCTTCTTGCAGAATCTTACTGACCTGAAGATGAGAGAGGGGTTCCAGTTCTCCTTATTGGTAACACTGGGAAGAATGCTGCTCCCCACAGCCAGCAGCTCCAAGCTGCGCTGGGCTATGCCCTTCCCAACAGAGTGCAATCCCACAGTGTCGTCAGACTCGGGGCAGTTCTCCTTTGGCTGACTTGCTTTAAATCCACATCCTCCAGTTGGAGGTCTACCTGTACGGACAAGTGTCTTTTCTGTGACTGTACATAAATTTATGATGACACATAGATGCAGTAGTCCTCACATAGAACACGGCAGTGTATCTATAAGAGAGAAAGCTTTCAGCTTACTATGCTAAAGTTTTAACTGATCTGCACCTTACAGTATGTTAAAGTCCCTGCCAAAACTTGCAGTTCCAGGGTGAGCAGGACTGAGGCCTGTAGAAGGATGCATTCTGGCTTTGCCAGGAAGCAGAGAACTTTAAATAAATTAATAATTTAGCAGGCTATTGAGTGTAAAATGCATCCAGTTTGAGCTGAAACTCCCACCACCCTGGAGTACCTATTCAGAGACAAGTGTGCTGACTAATCTGCTTCTCAAAGAGAAAATGTGATATCCGGGACACAAAAATCACCAATTCTAAAGGGCCTGATGCAAACATACTTGAAGTATAACCAGAAAGGATTTCTATCCACAGTGAGGACTAACTGAAAGCACTACACCTCCTGCAATAAGTGGTCCTGTGCCACTTCAGGCAATTTTTTTCAGCCTCCTTTCTCTAATTCAGAAATTACAGACCTGTATCTATAGCCAAGAGCTTTGGGCCAACTGGTCTGGACACAGAATAGCCTTACCTGTAACGAGAGGCAACCAAAAATTATTGTGGGAGCTGAGGGGCACCTGCGGCTTCTACCTTGCTAGCATAAACATTTCCCCAACCAGAAGCGACTTCCCAGAGAGCTGTGTGTCCACCCAGTATTTCTGATGTCATGTCTTCCCACACCCATTTGACTTCAAGTTATGGGCACCCTTCCTTCTTCTTGTACGTTTGGAGATTTCTTCACTGTGGAGGGAGTTGTGGGAAGGAGAAGGAATGAAGAGGCCGAAAGAGACACTGAGTGCCATCACACATGGGAAGAAAAGGATTAAGCATAAAATCACAGAACAGTTTGGGTTGGAAGGGACCTTGAATATAACCTAGTTTCAACTAGACCAGATTGCTCCAAGCCCCATCCAACCTGGCCTTGAACACAGCCGGGGATGGGGCAGCCGCAGTTGTCTGGGCAACCTGTGCCACTGCCTCACCACCCTCGCAGGGAAGGATTCCTTCCTAATGTCTGATCTAAATCTCCCCTCTTTCAGTTTAAAGCCATTCCCCCTTCTCCTGTCACTACATGCTGTTGTAAAAAGCCCCTCTCCAGATTTCATGTAGGCCCCTTTAGGTACTGGAAAGGCTGCGATAAGGTCTCCTCAGAGCCTTCTCTTCTTCAGGCTGAACAAGCCCAGCTCTCTCAACCTATCTTCACAAGGGACGTGTTCCAGCCCTCTGGCCATCTCCATGGCCTTCCTCACTTGAGCAGGTCCACATCTCTCTTGTGTTGTGGGCCTCAGAGCTGAACACAGTACTGCAGGTGCAGTCTCTAAAGAGCAGAGTAGAGGGGCAGGATCATCTCCAACCTGCTGGTCATGCTTCTTCTGATGCAGCCCAGGACATGATTGGCTTTCTAGGCTGTGAGCACACATTGAAGCTGGCTCATGTTCAGTTTCTCTTTAACCAACAGCCCCAAGTCCTTCTCCGCAGGGCTGCTCTGAATCTCTTCTCTGCCCAACCTGTAGCTGTGCCTGGGATTGCTCCGACCCAGGTGTAGGACCTTGCACTTGGCATGGTTAAACTTTATGAGGTTGGCATCAGCCCACCTCACAAGCGTATCAAGGTCCCTCTGGATGGCATTCCTTCCCTCCAGGGTATCAACCGAACCACACAGCTTGGTGTCATCGTCAAACTTGCTGAGGGCGCACTCAATCCCACTGTCCATGTCAGCGACAAAGATGTTGAACAAAACCGGTCCCAACACCATTGACAGTTTGCACTGGACGTTGAGCTGTTCACAATTAACAATTTTCAGACCCGGCTGTTACAGATCCTACACACACTCCATTCGGCCGTTGCGCACCGCGCGGCACATGGCTGGTCGCCAGGGGGCGCAGAGCCACAACCTGCGGTGGGGCTGTTGAAGCCCCTCAGCGGTGGGGACCGGCTGAGCTCGGGCGTTCCTGTGGGGAAGCTGGCAGAGGTTCCCCAATCCTCTCGTCAGCACCTAAGGGCACGGGGGTATCGTTTTGAGTTACGGTGGGCTTTCTCTCGTTAACGTTCGTGTCTGGATCCATATTTACTACGGGTATAAAGCTAAGGCAATAGTTCAGTGCATAGCCAGAACATTCGAGTAAGTTCTGATGCATCCCTGAGGAGTTCGGAGCAGGGCTGAGCTCGCTGGGGCTTGACCACTATTCCTGTAGGAAACAGGTGACCCTGCGTTGCTTCCCTTTCCACAGGGAGGAAGCTGAGGAGCCAAGGCATGATGCGTCCTGGGAAACAGAGTGGGGAGCTGCCTGTGGCTCTTCTGTGCCTGGCTGGATAACACCTGGCAAATACGGGTTTAAACATGTAAATGCCTGTCAGATTACGTCTGCAAACAGTGTGAGAGCCCACGTGTTATTTATAACATGGAGATAGGATCTAAATGAAGTTGCTTATGAGAGACGAAAAACATTGGTCCAGAGCTCAGCAGACATAAGGATGAAAGGATCAGACTGCCAAAAGGAAGGAACATGTCTGTAGGAAAAGACTGTTTCCCAATAAAATCCACAAGGAAAAAGTTTTTAGGTCTTCAAAATCAGTTTATCCTTTCTGTGAAGTAGTGTGGCTCCATGGAGTACTTACAGAGGTTTGTTGTATGAAAGGAGGCTGGGCAGAACATGCTTGAATATGTTACCCTGTGAGCTTGGTATGAAATTCATGCAGGGGTCTGCTGCTCCACTAGAAAATGTTTGGTTTATCATACATTAATCAAAAAAGGGTTGAAAACCACTCATTTCTTAGCAAAAAGTGGACAAATTATTTGCCTGCAGGGTAATAAAAAGGCAGATTGGCAGTAGTTTTCCTGCTTTTATTCTCCATGGTGACATCTCAAAAACAACAACTTTGAAACTCCAAGCATGGCAAATGTATAATGCCTGGTAATAGGGTTTGAGGATGTGTCCCGAAAAGGTATAAAAGTGTTGTATTTTCATTATACAGGGTATTTTTATGTCCTCCTCCCTCCCCCTTGAAAATAATTCATTACAGGAGAGAAGGACAATCTAAAATAACTAAGTACAGCAAAGAAAACTACTCACTGCATAACGGGTGGAAATGACTGTTGCAGGTAAGCAACAGCAGCAGGAAAAAGAACCCCAGAGCTCACTGATAAACAGCAACAGGACTATACCCTGGGCCAGGGCTTTCAAACAGGGTCTATGAAAAGGTAGCAGCAGTGGAAACCACACTCCCAGCTCAACTCTCCGGGCTGTGTGGCTTGTACAAACAGAACTGAAGGTGACCCTGTTGGGATGCACCATCAAGGACAGCATTGGTGCTCTGCAGACAGCCTGGGTCAGGAGTGCATGATAAGCTTCTTTCACCTCCAAATTAATTTTGGTGCTTGGGGCACAGAGGATGCATTGTTCTCAAAAGCAGTAGAGGTTTTGCAGAATAAAAGATGTATTTTTTTCTATATGAAGTGAGCATAGGTGTGGTAGAGATAGATGGTGGATAATGCCACCACCAGGCATTAGATTAAAACCTTGCCATTTCATTGAACTGAATGATGCTTCTCAAATGAGCTTGTCAACTTTTGGTGTATACTTTCAAACTCAAATGTAACTAATAGCATCCTGGCATTCCATGTGCTTTCTTTCTATGACTCATGAAATGCTGCTTCTCTCTGCTGCTGCTCTCACCAAGAATGAAAACTGAATGCATTTGCTCCTGTTGTTTGCACTTCAGAGCTCTGACTGCAGCAGCCCTAGGCTTGAAAACAATACTTAATTGTTTTGAAATTAGTTCAGCTTTAATTTTGAAAATGTTTCCAGTAACACCCCCATTGGGCTTCAGAGACTATCCAGAAGGGGGGTCATTTTATTTTTTCTCTAATTTCTGCTTTTATAGGGGGTAAAAATGTCTTTTTACAAAATACCACTCACTCTGCATCTGAATTGCCCAGAACCCCTGCGTGCAACACTGAAGGTTAATTGGCAACAGCCAAGGAGAACAGGTGGATGGAGAGGGATTACAAGCATGACAAAAAACGACAGGCAGAAAGGAAGGGGAAAGTCTTTCCTGTCAAAGGCCTCTATGCAGGCAGGTGTGGATGTCAAAAAGCAACTATAAAGGTCACAAGAGAATTCATATGGGAATCATGGCAGATGCGTTCCTTTAGTATTAGCTAACTTTATTCTTAAGATTTTTACTTTTCTAATGCTGGTAATCCAGCTGGCATTCTTAAGATCATATCAAAATGATAGCTTTGTCACCTTATGTAATGGATCTCTCTTCTGATCTTGCAGGCAATGGGAAAGGGACTTTAGGAGCCCCAAGTGACAATGAAGGTGGTTCCAATGTCACAGCTGCTGTACAAAGCAGGAATGGCCAGTACAACACAATGGAGATGCTGTATCACAGAGTTTTCCGGAGTGTCACATGGTCACATCTGCAGTACACAGCTTATTGAAAGGTTTCTTTGCCCCTCAACCCATTCAAGAAGTGAGCTAAAGCCCCTTTAGCTTCTCCATGTGTCCCAAACCCTGTACCTAGCAACACAGAACAAATCCTCACCCACATCTTTGTGTGAAAGCTCCCTGAAGAAACATAGCTCCAAGCAGTTTCTCAGCAAAACAATCTCCATGACATTAAAGCAATTTTCAGAATAGCCAGAGCATGATAAACACTGTGGTGTTGTGTTTATCTACCTGTAACAGGCTGTGGCAAGGTCTGGCTTCCAAAATGTTACTTGATGGCTCCATCTCAGGGTTCTGTATTTGTACAGACACAAAGGCTGGAGGCTGTCCTGCCTCTCTCTTCAGTCAGGGAAGCAGCTTTGGGAGGGACCTTGGTGCAAAAGAGACAGGAGTCCTTTTCAACCATGTGGAGAGTAGGCAGTTATTTTGCTCAAGATAACCTGGAACTGTAGGAGAAAACTGGCAACTTGACCAAACAGAGCTCTTCTGTGCAGCACCAGATCACTCTGTTGGCAGAGGAAGCTGGTCACAGCCCAGTGGTGGTATCATGTGTGGTTACCCATACTGAAATCCCCTGAAGAAAAATGCTCCAAGAATGGCCCTTCTCTCCTCCCTGCAAAGGCCAGTTACAAGGCTTGATACTTTCTTTGCTACTCCCTCCCACAAGTTTCTCTGGCCAGTTTTAGGTAGCTCTAGTGAGGATCAGCATATGAAAACCTCTTTGGTGATTGCAAAACCATTTATCTTACGTTACAGGTGAACTGGTATTGCCCATTTAGAAGGGGGTGGTTGTAAAAGGTCAGGAAATGGGTGTGCAACTGCTGATCCATGGGCAACGGGCACCCAAAGTCACAATCCAGACTGAAAACCCCAATTCAATGAGCTACAATGGGAGATCCAGACATCAAGGCAGGAGCCCAGGGAATTTTGGCGCCCACTGCTGCCAGGGGGGAAGGGGAGGTGGCCCTCACTGACCTAATTGTTCTAACGAAGGCTGGGACGCTTACAGTTTCAGTCATCTATGACATTTGTATGCCAGCACAAGGGCCTGAATAATTCTGGCTGGCTGTCTCAGATAATAGATGCTGCAGTTTCTCAACATTTTGAAGGATTCATAGTTTTGTCAATTTTCCACTGAAGCCACACACTGGAATTTTTACAATGTACTTCAAAGGAATAATGGGATTGCTGGGGAGTCATTACTATCGGTATTTATCTTCCCATTCTGTTATGTCAAAACTTTTTCAGTAGGCCAGATCCTGCTTTTGACAGCACAGCCAAACTTCAGGCTGATGCTTCATCCTGCTGTTGCTCTAAGGGCTCTTTTTTTTTCTTCTTTACGGGATTCACTCATCATCTCAGTTGTCTTAGTAGCAAGTCACTGTTGCGATGCTTCATTTTAAGGCCACAAAACCATTTATGTCCTTGACATGACCCAGGCACCCATATCCTGTATAAAAAGGGGTTTGATTTTAGGCCAGCAATAAAAATTTATCACTGGAAAATTTATCATTTGAGTCCCCATAATAACCAGGCTCATTATCTTCCAGGGCCAGCACTATTGCAGATGTTCTGAACCGTATGGCATAGGCACAAACCATCACTTCTTGTCTGAAACAAGAGGCTCTTCTCAGGCTCTCTGTCAGCCTCTGGCCCTCTGGCTCCCCTCTGCTGCAAGTCACACAGCTCATTAGGGTTGCATAGGTATAGAGGTGGAAGCCCCGCTCTGCCTCAGCTTTTTTATTTGGTCCATTCAGTGCTGCTGCAGATGCACTTCTAATGAGAAAAATAGATGGCCTGAGGAGACACTATCAGTAACTGAAAAGTCCTTCAGATTTGCAGAGATAAGAAATCCGTGATGTTAGAGCAAGGTGCAGCCAACTAATAGGTGCTGCCCACATCTGACTTCAGGGAATTAAGACCTCGTTTTTTTTCTGAGGCTGAAATTTTTACCACCTAGTAAAACTCATCACAAAATCTTCAATACTTTTCCATGTACTTGGATTTAAAGGAAATGGCAGAAAATTCTTATGAACACTTGGTTCTACAACTAAAATAGTTTTCTGAGGAGAATTAGCTTGCCAACAACTTATTTATAAGCTAAATACATAAATGGCCACTTCTAAAGCATAGTGTACACAATGTCCTAAAGTACCAGCACTGAGCAAATAAAACTGATTCAAAAAACTGAGAAAGCTTGTATTTTTAATACACACAACTCATTCCTGAGGGCTTGATCAAATAAACTACAGTGACTGAGATAAGGGACAGACATAACTGACATGAGGAGATTGTGACGCTCTGGATTTCAGTGTGATTTAAAAGACACAGGTATTTAGAGACTGCTACATCACCATTCTGGCCCCTGACTGACAGAGTCATTGTTGCAGATGCACTTTCAAATTTCTGTGTAAAATGTCTCCTGGGTCTGCTGGATGTCTGATGGAAAAGATAGCACGCTAAGCTCCTTTGAAATTCATGGCATAGGGTTCCCAAGGTTTTCAGACTAAAAAAAACACAATTATTTCTTGCTGCTAGTATCATCATATGTCTGGGATGAAGTGTTTAATTTAATATAATATAGTGTGTAGTGTAGCCCTGTAGGCTTCTCAAGGCCATGGAGACCTCAGATGGCAACCACTTCTTTTTAACTGTGCTGACATTCTCCTAGGAACATGTATCAAAGATGAGAAAAGATGAAATACTTAAAATTTAGTCTCTCCAGACAAAATACAAATAGATATATCTGGCATGTACTGGCAAATGTAGCTGCTAAGCCATTCCCAGGCGGTCAGGCCCACAGTGCCTGGAAAAAGGAAAAACTTCACACCCATTTTTAAAAAGGACAGAAAGGAGGACCCTGGAATCTACAGACTGATCAGCTTCACCTCTACGTCCAGTACAATCATAGAACAGATCCTCCTGGAAGCTATGTCAAGGCATGTGGGTGGCAGGGAGGCAATCAGAGACAGTCCTTCACAAAGGACAAATAGTGCCCGACTATCTGGAGGCCTTCTACAATGGAGTGACTGCAATGGTGGATAAGGAAAGAACAACTGATGTCATCTAGCTTGACTTCTGGCACAGTCCCATACAATATCCTTGTCTGTAAACTGGAGAAAGATGGGTTTGATGAATGGATTATTTGATGGATTAGGAATTGGCTGAATGGCTACACCCTGAGAGTTGCAGTCAACAGCAAGGTCCCTCAAGGGTGACCTGTATTAAGACCGGTACTGTTCAGTCTCTGTTAATGACTGACAGTGGAGCCAAGTGCACCCTCAGCAAGTCTACAAGTGACACCCCACTGAGCAGTGCAGCTGATTCACTGCAGGGAAGGGATACCATTCAGAGGAAGCCTGACAGCCTTGAGGAATGAGCCCATGTGAACCTCATGAGGTTCAACAAAGACAAGTGCAATAGCCTGCAACTCAGTCAGGGCAACCCCCTATATCAATGCAGTCTGGGGGATGAAGGGATTGAGAGGAGCACTATGGAGAAGGACTTGTGGGTACCAGTGGATGAAAATTGGACATGAACCAGCAATATAGTTTAGATTGGATATAAGAAGGAAATTCTTTCCTGTTAGGGTGGTGAGGCACTGGAATAGGTTGCCCAGCGAGGTTGTGAATGCTCCATCCCTGGCAGTTTTCAAGACCAGGTTGGATGAGGCCTTGGGTGATATGGTTTAGTGTGAGGTGTCTCTGCCCATGGCAGGGGATTTGGAACTTGATGATCTTAAGGTCCTTTCCATCCCTAACTATTCTATGATTCTATGAATATGCACTTGCAGCCCAGAAAGTCAACCATGTCCTGGGCTGCATCAAAAGGACTGTGACCACCAGGCAGAGGGAGGTGAATTGCCCCTTCTACTCTGCTCTTGTGAGACCCCACCTGCAGTACTGTGTGCAGTTCTGGTGTCCTCAACATAAGGCAGACATGGACATGCCTGAGCAGGTCAGAGGACACAAATCAATCAGAGGGCTGGAGCACCTCTCCTATGGAGACAGGAGTTGGGTTTGTTGAGAGAGTTGGGCTTGTTCAGCCTGGAGAGAAGGCAGCTCTGGGGAGACCATACAGCAGCTATCTATATTTAGAGAGGACTTCTAGTCCTGTGGCCTGCAAGTCCCAGGACTAGGATTTCCAAAATTACAGTCATCACTGTAATTGGATGCACAATTACATCACTGTAACTGGATGTAAAGAGGAGCACAGGACAAGCGAGCCAGTTTTTCATCACGAAGACTGCACTGTCATCAACTCTATGAAGATTAGTCTTCCTTTCCCTTGACTGTCCCTGGTGAACTGATCTGGCAACAGAGTAATACAGGAATTAATAGAGAATTGCGGTGATGTTAGTAAATCTTGTGTTCAAACCAGTGTTGCCAGAATGAGCACCTGAGGCCAGACAGCTCGCCAGATTTCCACAGTAAGAACAGAAATGGCATTTCGTAGGCTGACAATGTCTGTAACACAGTAGGGCACTAAGTTGTTTCTAGCTATAACAGGGATCAAGATACTGGACCTTAAAATATTCCCATCATCTTCCTTCACGTTACGGTGTCAGCAGCTAAAAATTAATGAAATGGCTGCAGTATACAGAATGTAAATCAGAACTTCAGGCTTCCAGTTTGAAGTACTTCACTTTGAAATTAAGCTGTTCCTGAGACAACAGCCACTAACATCTCAGTCACAACTGAGGTAAATGAAATGGCTGTAAGTGAAAAAGGTGACTTTTAAAGCTTGTGTTCATCCACAGTGTTAGTTCTTTTTTCATTGGTGTTACTACTCTTTTCAGTGTCTGGGAACAATGACCAGAAAAGAGTAATACTGGTAGGACAGAATGGAGACAGCTGCCCTCTGAGACTTTCTCCTTTTAGCTTCTCTAAAACAAAAAGGCCCTTTAAAACAAAAGCTTGCTATGCAGAGATGTCTGGTGGTGCTGGAAGCAGAATGCCAGCAAGGCTGGAGCACTACTTATGGTATGGTGGAGTAGATACTCTAGCTTGAAGCTTTACAGGTCATAGCTTGACTGCAAAGAAATGTAACAGTATCAAAACAAAACAAAGTTGGGGGTGGGGGGGAAAACACATCATGCTCTCACAATAAAAGCTACTTTGATCCACTTTCAAAATAATACATCAATCTCACCTGTAACTTTCATCACACAATGAACAGAACTAAATATATTGAACTAACCAGCCCATAATTGTCTCTCTATCTGTTCAGCCCTTGCCAAAGTAACATCTCACCAGTCCTTTTCTATGGTGTCTGGAAGGATGTACATTTTCTTTCACGATATAGACAAGCTGGAGGCGGCCTGCAGCTGTAAGAACAAAGCTTCCTCCCGGCATAGGGATGATACAGAAAAGGCTCCAACTGCAAATATGGAGACAACTTTGATCCAAACAGAGAACTGAGGAGACAGAGAGAGCAAGAGCTAAGCGCAAAGGCTTCTCTCTGCACACAGGACAGGGCAAGAGGCACACGGGCAGCCTCACTTGTAGTTCAGGGCTGCAGGGACAGTGGGGATGTGGCTGCCTTCCAGCACAAAATGGAGCGCACTGGAAAACACGGTGCCAAAGACAGCCCTGGCCTCGTATCCCTGGCAGACTCACAGAGCCTCTGAGACCGAGTACTGTTCATCGGAGTCTGTCTCTTGTGAAAGCCTCTACTCCCCTGATGAGACAAACAATAGAAACAGAGTCCATGGCCAATGGCTGCACAGGTTCACGGGAGGCTTGTCTTGCTTGCTGCTCTCTCTCTTTTCCATTGCAGTCACCTCATAGTATCCAGCCCATCAACATGACATGTCCACAACAACTTCAAACCACAAGGGACATCCTTGTTGGGAAATCGTTCTGAGAGGAAAAACAGAAGATTAAAGTCAGCAGGAAAGCACCCATGGAACACAAAGAGACAGACGTAGCTTTGACAGAGACACAACAAAAGAGCAACAGCTTTGTCCTCTCACACCCCTTTCCTCTCTCACACGTCACTTAAGCTGAGGCCTAACAGCCAAGCTGCTCTGGCCACAAGGTCTCACTCATGGAGCAAACTTTGGGCAGCTCCCCTTCCCCAAAACCCACGAACTCATCAGTCCTCACTAGCATGGGCTATGGCAAGATATCCTGCTGGTATCCTGAGCAAGGAACACCTTCTGCAAGCATGGCCCCTACGTGTGTCCATGGGTATGCACCCACAGGAGTCTGCCATCTCACCCCTTTCAGAAAGATGAGGTCTCTTACACCATGCCTTGCTATTAGCCCTGTCCCAGTCCAAAACAACAGAGGCTCTCAACTCTTCCTTAATAAGGATCAAGGCCAAAGCAATGCCCTGTGATTTCTGTAAACCCCAGGTAAGTCCCCTTCCTTACCATGATTCTCCTGAACACTAGATGAACTCCAACTTCCTTGGATCACCAGGCCTTAGATGCCAAAAACATCCCTTAGCTCCCCATACCCAGGCAGTCTGGCTCTCCCCTCCATCATGAAGTCCTGTGTAGGGCTCCTACACCCCCAGTGACAGCCCGCTTCCCACAGTGACGCCCCTCAACTGGGATTCCCCACACTCAGACTACAGAACCCCTTGCCCATAAACTCCTGCCTGGTGGCTCCCTGCTCAGCCTATTTGGATCATGAGCACCAGACACGGCCTCACTGTTTTCTTGGGGTCCTTCTTCCTCTTCTTGTCAGAGGCGTTGAGGTAGGCCTGCTCCCTGGCCCTATACGAAGGGCCTCGGCTCAGCTCCCTCTCACTGTATGGGGGCAGGGTGTCCTCCTCATCCTCCTGCTCAGGCGATGATGGCGGCTGCTGTGGCTGCTGCTGCGATTTCTCAGCTTTGTAGGTAGAGGGTGGTGACCAGGCATAGTATGTTCCCCCTCCTCTCTGGCTGGGCTGCGAGCTCAGCTTCGAGGGAGTTTCACTATGGTCACCGCTCTCATCGTGGCTCCGAGATTTCCTCTCCAACACACTGCTGAGGTAGGAGTGATCATATTTCTGGCTCCCTCCAGGCGTCCGGCTCACCAGCCTGGGCAGGTGCTTCTCCTCATGGGCCCGTCTCCGGGGTGGGCTGTATGACCAGCCCTGATCCGAGTCTGTCAGCAGCTCCCGGTTCCCTCTGTTGCGCTTGGTGTAGTACTCTTCAACGGAGCCATCCTGGTGGGGCATCCCTCCGCTGCGGCCGCCATGCGACTCCGAGCGCTCGAAGCGCCGTGTTTCCTGGCTGTCTGCTCGCCGCATCCTCTGGCTGTAGGACTCTGCAAAGGCTGCCAGCTCGTCCATGGAGACAGCCGGCACTCCCACAGAGAAACTCTTACGGGACAACATCTCAGACTTGGATCTCTGCTGGCTGGAGGAGGGAAGAGATAGTGTTAGAGGGTAGGATTCAGCTGCGCTCATCTCATCAGCTGCCTTCACAGGCAATGGAGAGAAACAGGCGTTCATGGAGCATGAATCATCTGACCTGTTTTCATCATCTTCCGCAGGGAGAGATGCATCACATCCTCAAAATCCCTGCTTCTCTCTGCTGACTGTCAAAGCAGCTTGGTGCGGATAGCTTGGACTGTGCATGTCTAATGTTACCCAAGATTAACCCTAGAGAGCACCTCCTTGTCCTCCAATATGTAGGGCTAGACTTGTTTCTCCTTGGCCGAAAAGCTTGTAGGTGTATGTCCTGCTGCAAAAACCCAAGAGCCCCACTACAGAAGCTCACAGCAGAGTGATTTTGAAGCAGGTTTAAAGAAACCAAACTAGCAAAATAGTCCAGTACTTAGGGAAGGAAATCCCTGATGCTTTGTTCAAGAGACTGGGCTTCTGGTATGTGAGGTAAGGATGCGGTATCTCTGCTAGGCATCAGAGTGCCAGTCTTTCAGGCCTGGCATATAGGTCCTGCTGCACCAAAGCACCAGGGTGTGACTCCCAATCAGCGCATCAGCACTAGGAAGTGCTGGAAGGATCAGGTACAAATCTCAAGAAAGCATTTTTAGGAAGGGTGGTTTGGTTTCCTACTGATCTCACTTTTACGTCCCAATGTAATCATCCCCAATGGGGTTGATACGTAGCTTTGCCCAGCTGGGTAGGCTTCAGCCAGCTTGTGGGAATCAGATTCATTCTGACCTCATCTAGTGACATCTCCAGATTTCATGTTTCTCTCTAACCCTCTGTCCTGCTGAGCAGAACCACAGCAGCAGGAAATTGAGAGGAGCTATCAGTCTATCTGTCCCTTCTCCTTTCTACTTAGCCAGATATAGCTGCTTCCCAACATGGTGCTCCTTACCTGTGCCAGAAAGTGTCCCGCTCATCTCTGTAATCAGAGACAGCCTGTGATCTGGACGTGCTGCCCCCACCCATCACTCCAGCCCAGTATTCAGCATCGCCATCCAGGTCCCCGGCAGGAGGCAGAGGTTTCCTTCGTGACTGACGGTAGGGCTGACGGAAGTTCAGGTCCTCTTCATGCAAAGAGCTGAGTTCAGAGATGGTGTTGTTATCTGTAGGGGATATTACAGAAAAGAGGTAAGATAGGTATTACCTGATAACATGTGCGAGAAGGGAGGGGAGGACAGGACAGGAACGCTGCGGAAAGCCCAGATGCAGCTTTTTCAGAAAGAAGTGAGCTGCCCTCTGTTAGAAAGAAATCAAAATGGAATCCCAGGACCTCCTCCAAACCCTTGACTGTTCCTGCCCAAGATTCCTGTGGCTCAGTTTGGACACAGAGCTGCTGTTAGACCTACAGGTCTTCTAAATTGGTAGCTGGCAGGCAGGTGGGATATTTTAAGATCATCACACATCGCATCAGATGGCTGTGTTCCAGATAACAGTCCAACCTTCATGTAGAAATCCCTCCTTAGCCCTGCTTCACTAATACATGAGAGCTGTGCCGCCTCATGAGGTGGGCACTGAGCTTGGTGGAATATCATCAGTGCAGTTGTGCCACCTCTTCCTATCCTGGTATGAAACAGGCTAGCTCTGGATATGGCCTGACTTGCCCAGCTAAAAGAAAACCAACCCCCTCAAAAAAAGATGAACAAAAAAGTAAGAGACTGTCTGAATCGCTGTCAGTCTGCACCCTGTCAAGCACATTGACATCTGGAGGCCTGACATACCAATCTGGAGAGGTCTTTTTATAGTAGATCTTGTGGGTGGAGAATACAGTGTGTTCAGCAGTGACTGTTTTAGAAGTATATATAATTTGTTAGTTATGCCTAATCTGTACAGAGCTTTGATGTAGTGTCATTCCCTAACACACCTTCATTGATTTGCAGGATCTCACACGTTTTAAATGAGCTGCTACCAGTGCCTAATGTGTGTTAGCTCTGCATGAGTCAGATGCTGCCGGGGGAACTGAGCCCCCAGCCTGTTCCTCCAATGGAACAGCTAGAGGATAACAATCAGCACTGCAAGCCCTCCTCATGCACACACCTTGTCCTACCACTGCACCTCTGCCTCCTAATGTGGAAAGATCCTCACTTGGGTTTGTATTCTGACATCCATTCAGTGCAGCCTCAGCCATTCTTTAGGGAAATAAAGCTTGCAGAAGGCTATCAGAAGACAGTGAGGAGCTCCACACAGAAGTTCTGAGTTTGTATCATGTCCCTGTTCACCACCCTCCTGCCCTTCACCAGCAGCTGTCCGACTGCTAAGCTGTCATACTGATGTGTGTGCCACCTCTGATCTTATGTTGACCAGTGTCACAAAATCTGATAAACCCCTAGTTTCTCGGATCTTTCTTGTAGTGTCTGCTCCTTCTGAAGGGCAACAGCCACTCCAAACTACCTTTCTGCATCCTCCAAACCACACTGGGGTTATTGCAACCCATGAAAAGATGCTTTTAACAAAATCATCTGTCTCTTATTTTGTCATATTAGGAATTTATAGTCACCACACTGTAAGGGATATAGAAATTGTGAAGACAATATCCCAGCTATTATCTATCACACCACAGGATGCAGAAGGCATTGCAGATGTTGATGATCCAAAAGTTTAATTATCCACGTAGACAATTTTTATGAGAATATTGGTATCTCTCACCTTATTTGTTCTGTGGTGATTGGGTAAGCAGCAAATCTTTAAAATCAGAACATAGAACCATAGAATCATAGAATAGTTAGGGTTGGAAAGGACCTTAAGATCATCTAGTTCCAACCCCCCTGCCATGGGCAGGGACACCTCACACTAAACCATGCCACCCAAGGCTCTATCCAACTTGACCTTGAACACCACCAGGGATGGAGCATTCACAACTTCCCTGGGCAACCCATTCCAGTGCCTCACCACCCTAACAGTAAAGAATTTCTTCCTTATATCCAATCTAAACTTCCCCTGTTTGAGTTTGAACCCGTTACCCCTTGTCCTATCACTACAGTCCCTAATGAATAGTCCATCCCCAGCATCCCCCCTTCAGATACTGGACTTGTAGATGCCTGAAATCTATTCAGGCATCTATTCAACTGCCCCAAGTACCATATCCTGGACATCATATCCTGGCAAAGCCAGTGAACTTTTAATTATGAGTATGCAGACTTTTTCAGGTCAGTGAGAAAAACAAATAATCAAACCATGCTTGTTCCTCACATCGTTCTCGCATTGTTCTCCTAGCTGGGTCAAACTGAGCCAGTTCTTTCTCCACATAGTAAAGCACCTTCATGGAGTCCCTTTCCTTGTCAGCCTGGATCCTGTACCCTTTGCACACTGCTAGAGAATAAAGAAAAGCATTAGTGGAAAACACATTTAAGTCCAAGGAGACTTTCTGACAATATTGCTTCTACAGTTGAGCTAATGCCTGCAGGCAGGTAGGCTGCGTCTTCCAAAACAGACTGAGTCAGTCTTTGCTTCAGAAGAAATCTGTCTGTAACGTGGGATGTGTAGCTGTGAGCAGCTGCATCATTTATAAAGTTTGCAGTAACAGCAAAAATGATTTGGAAATGCCCAATCTGTACAACCAAATGCATCAAGTGGTGTCACTGCCACAGCGTGATTCCAGCCCCCACAGAGGATGGCAGAAAGAAAAGCACTCACTTCCCCTTCCTCAGCACTCCAGAAAGGATTCGTCATAGTATGGGAGAAGTAGTCCCAGAAGATGAGGCTTCCTCTATGCAGTAGGGGCTGTAAGCTCTCAGTCTGCTGGGGAAGCAGGTGGCTGAGCATTTGGGAGCTGTCACTAGGCAGACCACTCCTCCCATCCTCATGAATTCTGCTCACGCAGGTTGAAGTGCATGTGGTAGGAGAAGCTCCAGAGAATACAGAAGGAAACACAGGAAGTCCCACAAAGTACATCACAGTGCTTTGAGATGCTTACCAAACCTAATGATGGGGCCAACCAGACCACTGGGTAACTGAAGCTGCCTACTCTGGTGTTCTTTACATGCTTGATTTTATAGAAAAGGTATGTTTTACACATACATTAAGTACTTGACCCCTGATATTACTCCATTTGCAGGGAAGTCTGGGCAGCTCTTTTGGTTTTCCCAGATTCCCGAGTGTAGAAAAGAAGCTCCTACACACCTGGAGCCACAGCAGCTCACTCTTACTCCAGCAGACTGGCTCCATGCACACTTTGCCTACTAATCCTATGAAAAGCCTGACTATCTCAAGGCAGGTCTATAGTCAGCAAGCACAGAACCCCACCTATCAGGATTTTGAAGAAAATAAGGCTTTTATAGCAGATTATTTAAGAAAAATCTCAGCCTGAGGCTATTTCAAGACTGACAGAAACACGGGTCTAAGTACAAACCAGTACTACAAGCCTCAAATTCAGCCTCATTAAAAAACTGAGGACAATCCACTTAGCACTACAAAATGGAGCCCGTCTGCCTTGCATAGGGTTATAATGTTCCCTTGTGTGAATACTGCAGTGTCGTATGAGTCCTTCTCTTGTGCCACGATTTAAATACTTGGATGGTGGTTTTGAATCAACCTGGTTTTTCTGTTTTATCCCACACTCCAATACTTTAAGCTCCTAACATATGGGTTTGATGGTACATTGCATAGTATGCACTGTGTGGGCTGAACAAGGACTTGGCAGAGGTATTTTTAGGCACCTTCTGTACGAAACTGCTGTGCATGTGTCTGTGTGCTATTAAATAACCATGCCCTGCTTCAGAAATGGCTGTGCCATGAAATGGATGGAATGATTCCTGCAATAATCCCACAAATTGCTTCAGAAGGAAATTGCATTACCATGGACTGTGATTGTGCACATGTAAGGTAAGTAACTACATCATGAAATATTACCTTGTCTATGTGTATTTGGGAAAGGTATTAGATGTTAAAACATAATATGGGTCTATTGGGGTCCTGCTTTCAACGTGTCTCAAGGCAGCTTAGCTGACAGCAGTCTGAGTTTTGCTATGTTTTATTATCCCCACAAATGTGTGCACAATTACTGCAAATGCACGCAGTGATTTACAGAACACGAGGAACCGTGCCTCTGCCTTCCAAAGTGGAAGACCATCATGTCTCTTGGGAGTGAGGTTGCTGCTATGAAGAGGGGCTGGGCTGACTAGCCTCAGAAGTGATGACTCCGGCTGCACTGTGCAAGCAATTGCACATCACCGTCACTGCTGACCTGTCTGGTACCTTGCTAGGAAGGGAATCTCCCAATATCCTTTCTTCTAATGTGTCTACTAGGAGCTCACCTAGTTTATACCCAGGAATCTCCCAATATCCTTTCTTCTAATGTGTCTACTAGGAGCTCACCTAGTTTATACCCACTAGGAGCTCACCTCATTTATACCCACGGGTACAAACAAGCATCAGCTGGAAATTACTCTGACCTACTAACAACCTTTTGGGAACTTGAACAGGCAACTTCCAAACTCTGTCTCCCCAGAGACACTACTCATGCTGAGGCTGTGCCAGGTATCTACTGGGGCAGCATCTATAGCTCCTGGAACTGATAGAGACTTCTCTGATTAGCTAGGTTTCATGCTGGCTTCATGCTTGACTTGCTATTGCAGCTGTGTATCAAGGGCAAGTAAATTTATTGGTTAATTCTTTAAGTATCTAGTAATTAACTGAATTTAAATCTGCAAAGATGACCATGAACAGCTCATAAAAAGTATTTCCATGACAGATGAAGGATATTTTGTGTCCACGTTTATTTATTACTTTTCACAACTGAATGTTCAACTTCCCAAATCTCTTTACTACTCCTTTATGTGAGAACCAAAGATATTATTGCTTCCTCCTAACCTCTTTCTTCACCTGTAAATTGTCAGAACCCTTTAATAAGGTCTGAATATTTTTAGGCCCATCTTAATTATAAGGGAATAAAGATGCAGAGATATTAACCACTTGTCCAGAACTATTCACTGAATTCAAAGGGAATGGAACATTTTTCCCTGTTAGACCATATTTTCTTCTCTTGAACACTTCACAAATTTCTAATGTTTAATTTGTGTTTAACTAGACACTTTCTTTATTCTTCTGTCGGTGGAACCAAGTCAGCCAAAATTGTGAGCTGCTTCCCTCCCCAGAAAGGACATCATTGCTATTTTTTTCAGACAAGTGTGATTAGGAAATAAATGATGTCTCATCCTTATACACTTTCCATATGAAAGGTCTGGAGGCCACCTCTTGGATCAAAAGCTTCCCTGTGTGCATGTTTTAAGGAATCTACACAAGAGTCTTCAGGTAACTACTGCATTTAAAATAGACAGAGCATACATCCTAGCATATGTGTTTCCAACACTCTTCTAAAGAAATGTGAAAGTTTTTGGTTCTTTTTATCCTGTTCAGCCCTAAATTTAGGATGGAGTTCCTAGGCTTCACTGTAGCTTTGTCACATGGGTTTTATGTAACCCTAGACAAATCTTCTAAATATCCTCATGCCTATGTTTGCTCACTATATCACCTCAAAGGGGTCATTTGTAAGCACAGAAACTATCTAGGGCAAAAGGCTGTCCTTTGTAGCCTGGCAGCCAGCATTGGAGAATCATCCAGTCTCTGTCCTCCAGCACTTCTGACCCCCTTTTTTTAAATAAACTTGACAGAAAGGTTGAAGTGTCAAAGATGCCAGATTTCAGATCAAACCTACACTGGCTGTGTGGGGGACACAGAAACCATAATCTCTTCCTGAGAAAAGGCCTTTATTATAAACCCAATCATTACCTGTTTTGTTTAGCTTCCTGTCTGGCCAACTAGCAAATAAATAGCTTGGAAAAGCCACATAAAGCTTTCTCTCCTACAGCCTGTAATTAGGGGATATTCTGGCATTGTAAACGACTTTAAGAAGCGTATCACCCTTCCTTAGCTCCACAGCTCAAGGAACACCTTAAAACAATAGGTGCATGATCCAGAAGGGCTTGTTCATAATATTGCAAAAAATATTAATTAAAAATAAAAAGCTGAAGAATATCTGATGTCTTGCTTTATATAGATAAAGCTTTATAATACTGGTTTTCTTTGCAATACATAGTATTTCCTGTCAGGTCCTGAGCTGAGTGATAAAGCCCAGCCAGCTGATGTGGACTATATAATAAATGCATCTGTCTGCTTAATGGGAACGGGATGCGGAAAGCCATTCCATTTGGTTACCAAACACATCCAGTTTCTTATTCTGCATTTGTGCTCTGCTAGTAATGTACAGCACACACAAGACTGGGGCTGTGATCCGACTTAAAAAATCCCTGGAGTTCCATGGCCAACCCCACACTCTACATGCAGTGACATTTTTCACAGGCAAAAAAAAAAAAAAAAAAAAGCACCGGGCTGTCATTTACCATCTTCTGACAAAGGTTTCTGAGTTAGATATGCTGTGCTTTGTATCAGTGATTGACTTATTTCCTATTTCAAAATGCTCCATTCCACAGCTCTGTTTTGATTTCGGGGGGGGGGGGGGAAGTATGACTGTTAAAGGAAAATACTATTTGCAATTCCAGGAGGTTCATATACTGTATATATAATACATAGGGTTGTTCCAAAAGCTTAATTATTTGATTATGCTACTTGATTTTGTCTTTTCAGAAGTGTCTTATCACACTGTCATGAGAAAATTTAACAAACTACAATTACTGGAGTGCTTTGAAACCAAGCATGTGGCTGGATGAATGGCAAACATACTGTGTCAGTATGGTGACTGCATTGGTGAGAGTCACTTTCTGCTGCAGCAAGTTTGAATTTAGACAGCCACTCTGATCCTGAAATGCTAGCGTTAAGGAACTAGCATGTGGCTAAACAGCTACCCTCGTTTTCCTTGATGAGAAGTGACCCTCACCGAGAGAGTCATCATACTTACACTCTATGTCTGACATTGATCCACAACTCCTTTCTAGTGAGAAGCCTTTTATCACTCATATTTTCTAAATACAAAGGCTGAACAAAAAGTGACCTACTGACTTCTGTAAAACAGGGGAGGGGATCCAGTGCAAATATTCTTAGGCAGAAACACTGAGGGAGCACATCCCTGTGCCCAAAATGCCATGGGGACAGTAAAACACACTGCAGCAAGATCTGCTGCCAGAGGGTAAGCAGAGTAGGAAGAACAGCATACCAAAAGAAAGCAGCCTGCAAAGCATCATCTCTAAGGAAAAAACAGCCACTGCCTCTGCTCCCCTGAAACTGTTTCTGTCCTCCACAAGTAAAGGTTTGCAGTAGTAATGAGAGGGGTTCCAGTCACGAACTTGAGCCTCCCATTCCCTGCTCAGCTAATTAGGCACCCACAAACTGACACTGTGCTGATGGCACTAGAAAAGTTGGACCATGTGGCCCTAAGAGATGCTGATGTCATTATGACAGCCAGGATTAAAATGCAGTTTCTCCGTGTTTCTCCTGTTTGCACTGCTCTATCAATGACAATCATTCCTCCTTTTCCCAGCCCCACTCCCAGTAAGAAGACTGAATGTTGTGCCTTGTACTGCAAATTACCATTTTGGCTTCCTCCACTGGCGTCACCTGGGGCTAAGGGAGGAGGGTGTGACTTATCCATCAGCACAGCAGGAGACGGGACACCAGTCACAGGAACACTGGGGATGTAGTATGCACCTGGCATGGAAGAGACTGGAGGAGGGTACCCAGCTTTTGCTGCTTTGCCTGCTACATACACTGAAAAAGAAAAAGAAGAGTAGTCAGCACCACACTGGCCTACCACAGACCCACCCAGCATATGGCTGAAACCTGCACATCACCAACACTGGTGACAGCCCAGCAGGAGACAACTGGACTACCACAGACCCACACAGCATATGGCTGAAACCTGCACATCACCAACACTGGTGACAGCCCAGCAGGAGACAACTGGACACATGAAACAACAAGGACCAATCTGAACCTCTCTAAGCCTCAAAAGGCACTGAGGGAAGTTTAGAAAATGCACACAGCAGGTCAGATGAGCCCTGCAAGATGCCCAGCAATTGAAAAAAGTTCAGGGTGTTAGAGCTGGCATGACCACTGCCATGATTTAGTGGCAGTTCAGCTTTAAAAACAACTGATGACTCAAACAACAGGGATGAGGCTCATGAAACTTGACAGATCTGCCTGAGCCTGACCAGAAACCTTGCTGGGTCATTTGGATTTTGCACTCTTGTAGAGGGCAGCTGCTTTGCATTGCTGTGAAGAAACCTCCCAGGATACTTTTAGTTCTGACCTGCAACATTCACTGACATGACAACAACTCTGGAAGGGGAGCATGACACTTTGGAGAAACAGGCACAGCTGGCAAGGCTTGGGGAATTACACTCATAATTAACTTTGAGCGCTTAACAATTAAGCAATAGGTCAGATGCTTCTCTCCCTAAGAACTAGTTCTTTAGTCAAGCAAAGTGCTCAGGGCAAAGGAAGTAATATTAAGCAGATTCTCCTCCTGTTCTGCCAGGAAGCAGAAGTAGCACAGGAGAAGTTTTGCACTAGGCTTGGACAGGGTCACTCACAGGCCCGGGGACAGCAGCAGGACTCGGGACAGCAGGGGCAGCGGACATAACAGCAGCAGCTGTGTGGGCAGCACTGGCACCAGCAGATTCCCACCAGGAGGAAGAACAGGAATGCCCCCAGGATCACCAGGCCCACAAAGACCCACTCTGGAAAATAAGGGGAGAAACAGAGATACTTACAGAGTTGCACATTGCTGTGAGAGGGAACGTCAGCAACATCCTGGCAGGGAAGAGCATAGGTGCAAAACAGATAGGTGAATAACAGAAGCTGACTCCCTGTGGGTCTAGGACTACATCCTCCTCTGTGTCAAAGCAGAAATGGCACACTATAGTGAGAAATGGAGCTACAGAATGGTCCCTTGCAAGGTCTCTGGCTGGCTGGGAGGTAGGAGCTCTGCTCTTCCGCAGCAGAGAAACCCTTCACCCCACAGCAGACCTGTACAAATGCTGCAGGATTATGCTCCATTACTAAAACACTACAAACACTAATGAACAAGATCCATTAGTGTTGGGATCTCGTCAAAGCCTCATTCTTTCTTGCCATGTTCATGCCCTGCTTGTGTGTTTGTTCCTTACCCACATCCTAGTTTTAGGGACAAACGCTGGTGCAAAGCATGCTATAAATAGGCCAGTAAATGAGCCACGCCTGCCCCTTCCCAACTGGGCTCACGCAGGCAATTATTCTTTTCAATGTGCCAAACGAACATCCTATTCAGGTGCTGCAGCCAGCCAGCAAACCTAACAACCATGCTGAAGCCTCAGATGTTATCTGCCAGGCCCCGAAAGGGAGCAGCTGAAAAACATTCAACGAGTGAAACTACAGAAGAGCCGGTCCACAAAAAACAGGATGGGGTTGAATAGGAAGGGGCAGCAGCTGTAGTGGGAGCAGATGAGGCTGCTGGGGCAGCTCCCAGGCCTGCACATGGCTGTCCGCCACACTTGGCAGGAGATGGCATGCACAGAGCTGTGCCTACTGCCATGTGGGAACTCTGTGGATTAGGAAAGTGGTTGGTGAACACATCCTAGCAAAGGAACTTCAAGACTTGGAACATACAGGAGGCCTGGAGTTGGTTTAAGCTCACTAGAGAGATGCACAAACCTATCTAGAAGTCAGAGGGCTGGTAGTGAAAACTCCAGGTGTACCTAGGGTAGAAACCAACCATGGAAAGATGGTGAGAAAACAAAGAAAGAAGTAGTGGGGCTGCCTTGAACTGGGTTAGGGCTTATCCCCATACCCACCCCAGTGGGAAGAAAGCAGCACACCACTGATACCAAACAGACGTCTAGCATTCCCGAAGGGGTCTCCTGGTACATTATCGTTAGCTGAAGAGGTATTGATACAAGGATTACAATGTGAGTACAGAATCACGCTGGAAGAACAGTGCACCTCTCACCTGCGTCGCTAAGCTGAAAAGCCAAGCAAAAATGTTTCACTTGGAACAATCAAACCAGATTCCTTTTCTAGGTCTTAGTAAAATGCAAAAATAAGAACGTGTCACTTTTGATTAATCCACAGCATTCTGTTTGAATGAAAGTAAAATTCTTTGCTTTGTTGGAGTTTTCCTTAACTCTTTTACAAACAACTCCCCTTTTTAAATGTCACTTTAAATCTAGAACTTAAAATTCCCTTTAAAAAATGACAGTGAGAGATCTGGCATTCACAAATCGAAATACTTCAGAAATGTCAAGTGAAATGTTTTATATTTTTTGAATATTTTATTTCTTTTTTGGCTGAAACAGATGAATTTCGTTTAAACTTACAGATAATTTTGGACCTTGTGGAGTAACTTTTTGGGGTGAAATTACTAAATAGTGAGAAAAGTTCAGCTAATGAATAAGGAAATAGCTGGAAGGAAGCATTCATGAATGGAAAAGTAAAAGCTGAGAGGAGATTACTTATACAGTTCCTCCAGTGATGGTTCTAGGTACTATCTTAATATCTTCATGAATGACTTTGACACAGAAAATAAGAATGTATCAATGTATCTTGAGGGTAAGTGGTAGCGAAGCATTGTCATTAGAGATGAAGATTGGGATATGTTAGAGAGATAGCTGTCCTTAGGCCTACAATAAGAAACATGAAATGCAACAATATATTGAATCTGAAGTTATACAGCAATACTTTCAAGGTCACACGTTCAAAGATTAAGAACAATTTGTGTTCCAAACAGGGGTTTGTTAGTTGGAAACAATAAAAACCAAGAGAAATTACCCAATGTCTGTCATAGAACAGTTGTAACCACTTAGGCAATACAGCCACAGAAACAGCAAATGTACTCCTACACCCAACAGAAGAGGATTTCCAGGAGCATTAAGGAAATACTAATGCCTTCATACAAGGCCTCCGTGTAACTTCATCTGAAGTTACTGATGTTATTATACAGCTCTTTGGACAAGAAAAGATGAATTCAGGCTGGAGCTGATGCAAAGCAGGGATTTGAGAGGATGAAGTGACTTGATAGCCTGCCTTGCAGCAGGAGAGCTGAAGCTTGCTGTGTTAGTCTGTTAAAAAGAGGGCTGAGAGCAGATGTAGCTGATGCCTGTTAATATGCTAGGAGGATGAACACCAGGAAGAAAACCAGGTATTAAAGGTCTTACATAAATGGGCATAAACAGGCTACAAGTAACGCAGGTGGAAGCTACAAGAAGCACATCAAAACAAGTGATCCAATGCCAAATCCAAAGTACCCTTAAAGTTGCTAAGCTTATGGAAAGGATAAATTTAATGACACTCAGGATAGTAATCAAGATAGCGAGCCATATTATTCTGTACTGCACTTCCTAATATATACCAATCTGAGCAGGGCAACAGTACAGTGGCTTTTTCTTTTGTCATGTTCTCATCTTGTTCTCTACAACCATCACTGATACAAGGAAGGTGGTGAAATAGTATCACATGACAGAAGTGGCCAGCCGCAGCTATGCAATGAAGCTCAGACATCAGATCTCCAGAACTGTTAGTGAACAGTTCACAACCACTCCATAAAGGATGAAAGCCTGGCAAAGGAAAAAACACAAACAGCAAGTCCATTGTAAGTGTAACTGTGATCTCCCTGAAAACAGTCTAGGAGTACAAAAGGTCAGGATAGTACGTACACTGTGCATTGCAAGATGCTTGCTCAGCACTGCAGTGGATGTTTGAAATCAAGTGTCCCACTCATAAGGACCTATGAATCAGGAAGGATTTCGCTTCACAGGAAATTAGATCATTGGCTTCTCTGGTGAAGTTAAGAAAACAGCAAAAGAGCCTGCTGGCTCCTTCTTCATGCACAAAACCGAGATCCGACCAGCCCCAGAAACAACTGTGTAACCTTGAGATTCAGATGATGATCAAGCTGAAATGCTAAGTGTCCTTGCTGTTTTGCTGCTGCCTTTTCCACTTTCTTGTTGTCTACACCCATGCAGTGAGAGTACCAGAAAGCTACCTGGCCAATAGCATGAATTTCATACCCATTCAATAAAATTGTAAGTAGTGGAGGAAAAAAAAAAGTATTAGGCAACAGATAATCACCTTCTGCCTATGCTGGAAATACCAATCCCTCTCCTGCCATGCTGAAATTCCAGGGAGCTTTGGGTTATACTGGAGGTGGGTGAGCATCTGCTTTCTCTCCATTTGCATCTAGGGGCAGACTTCAAAATAGCTTCACACATTTATATGGAGTTGCATTTTTACACAAACCTGTGAAAGCAGCACTCTCTGGGCACTGTCAGGGGATGATCTGATGACTCAAGGGCTAAACGTTCTCACAGCTTTTCCCCTTCAAGGAGATTATTTCCCTTTTAAGCAAAATCACCGTTTCCTCTGCAAAAAGTACCAGAACTGGTGGCCCTCATTAGTTTGGCTAGCAAGGGATTTATCATGACCACAGAGCTTTCATGGCTGGTCCAACCACTTAGTATTACCTAGATGATGCTCTGGCCATGCAGCACAAGAGGGGCTATGCCACTGATGGGTTGCTCTATTTCTACACCTCCTGTGCCACCATCTGTGGTGATGGCTGTAACAGTGCCTGTAGGATAGGGTCTGGGGAGCAGAAGGTACCACTGCACAGGAGCAGCTCACGTACAAAACCATACAGGCACACAAGGCTGCCAAGACCTTGCAGACTGGTGCAGCATTACCCTTGTGCTAGCAGGGGAGAGCAGAGAGCTTGATATAAAACCTCTCCTCAACTGTCCTGGCATTTCTGCTCTCACAGATCCTGGCATGCCACCAGCCATCTCTGTATGTTGGATCCCAGCATGGGCATTCCTCCCCCAAGTGCCAGCATCAGCTCCCTCAGATCTAAACCCAACACATTTTCCCAGTAAGCGATAAGTTTTTATCTTTTTCTCCCCAGATAAAACACAAATAAGAGTGAAATGTACACCACATAAAGATGCTGCAGAGGGATAAACAGACAAGATGACAGAGGACTGGGTGACTGAAGGGTGAAATGATTGAATACCTGGCATAATCTCCACAGCAAAACTGGGCAAGAGATCAGCAAGCAGCCCTGTCCTGCCTAGAAAAGACAGAAGGAGGAGAACAAGGAGATAGGTTACTGCAAGAAATACACTCCCCAGTCCCTGTCTTAGCCTCCAGTTCCCTTCCTCATCAGCCCACTTGCACTTTGTTAAGTGTGCATCCTATCAATCACAGATGTCATCCTGCTTGATGCCTGGTTTCTGCCATTTCTGTGTCCTTGCATTTTATCTTTATCAGCAGAGCTGGGGGAAAAGAATCTTAAACAGAGCTTCTCCGATGTAGGCACAAAATGACAAGAAGAGGTCGGTCTCCTTAGCCCGACTGCATGGTAACATCTTTCTGGAGTTACGTTCTACACATGCAAAAAGCTCCTGGAAATGCACAACAGCCCTCAAACCAAAGGCTGTAGTTTACATTTAAAATGAACTGATGCAGTTTGGGTGGGTGTGAAACATCTTTAACCCAAGGCTCTTGACAACTCAGCCACATGCATACAACACCTGTGGGTGGTGCTCTCCATGTAGGGCTCTGCAACTGCAGAAACACCTCCAGGAAAGGGGTCTTGAAGCACGAATGTGAGTATGTGCTACTGATTTCAAGATGCACAAGCAACCTAGTGAGATTGTGTGATATAAGGTTAACTCTCAAGCTGTCCTGGGTTCAGCAGTTATTTTTCCCCTTCCTAGTAGCTGGTGCCATGCTGTGTTTAGGCTTTACTGCTGCATGGTGCCGAGTTACTGGCTTGGCTTAAACCACGCCACAAGCGAAGCAAACCAACTAGGGAAGGATCCATGTAGAAATTTGTGGAATTGCTTTGCAAAATGAGAAAAAAAAATTAATTTATAACTGAATACAAACAAAATGCAAGCACAAAGGCAGCTTGGTGCCTGTTTCTTTTGGCACTGTATGTCTGGGATATTTCTAACATACAGCAAATGTCCTGCACAGTGTTCAGGTGTGTATCAGCAGAACAACCCTATGTGCATATATAGCACATATAGCATCAGGATCATGCTAAGTTTTTATAAAGCTATGCAAAAGGTAGGAGAACTGCACTCTTAAGGGAGACATACATTGTGGATATAACAGAAGCAGCTAAGGGTAAGCCAGTGCGAAAGTGGTCAAGTGCTACCTTCCTCCAGGTCCTGCACTAAGCAGCACTCAGACACAATGATGAACTGGATCCCAAGCTCCTTGGCATATAGTCTGTCCTTGAAGCACACTATAATCAAATTCCTGCTGTCCTTTTTTAACTCAGTGCTTCAGCAGAGCTTCTGTAGAGATCAAAAATCCACAAGGATGTCCACTGGAACCATAATAAACATGCTCTGAATGCAGGGAGTGCTCTGCAACTGCTTGCAACTCATCGAATCTGTCCAGTTCTCACAGTAACACCATCATGATAAGGTGTTCCCGAAGCCTTACCAAAAGATACAGTGGTGATCCTTGAGATAATTGTTCCTCATTTACTACTTTGAAGGAGGACTCTTGCCATCAGTCTACTACAACATTTTTATCTACATATATGAAGAGTTTCATGACATTCTTTGCAGTCCATTTTCTGGAAACATCAAGTGTCCAAACTGCTCACAACCAGCTTGGGAAAATGCTTACATATGCTTCCTGCCCTCGAGATACAGGCATGTACACACGTGGCTTAAGTCTCAGGTGCCACAAGCGGGCTCCAAACACATGCACCAAATGTATGCCTTGCGTCACAAAATCCTAGATTTAAATTATATTACATGCATACATTAAATATATTCCTTACTTTCCAAGCATGCACAAACATGCAATTCTTCATAGGCCTCCGTGTACATGTAAACAGTGTACACACGAACCACACTCATGCAGACACAAAGCACATAGCTTGACTCCGATCTGTTATTATCTCCACACAAACTCACATGCAGCTCTCTCCTGAAGGCAGATGCCAGTGGATAAATAGCTAGAGCTACATCGCTAATTTGGGGCTGGGATTTGTGGTACGGAAGGTAAGGGAGTGACACCTATAAAGAGCAGAAGCCCGAGCTCATGAGTCCAATTAAGTGCCTGCTTTATTTTGAACTTACCCGAAAAGCTTTAATCCTTGCTAGTGCTGGATCTTAGGAACCCCATGTTCAAGGGTGAAGAAGCGTCCCTCAAAAATAACAGTGCTTGAGAACTTGGTAACTCATTACAAAGACATCCAAAGTAGCTCCTCTGTGGTACCCTAGAGCAGCCAAGTATTTCCCAGCTTGTGCAGCCTCACTCAGCTCTGCTGTGCATCTGCTTGGGGAATTTGCTCCCCCTGCCCCATCAGAGGTGGTCACACAACACTGGGGGGCCCAGATCCACTTGCAGGGGATGCACAAAGCCCAGGAGGGCCTTTGGCAAGAATAAACCCCACCATGGCTCAGCCTGTACTCTGACACCTTGACTAGCCCAGCCAACAGCCAGCAAGCACAAAGCCTGCCCCTGCACTGGCAAGCCCCCAGCAGCTTTCAACACACCCCAGCTCTCCCCCTCCCCATCCTGGCCCCAATTAATTCACTAACCTTCCCCACACCCTTAGCGGGTAAAGCCAAGACAGGCTGCACACGCTCTGCCATGGCTACCCTGTGGTTGTCACAGCAACATAAGGCTTCCCAACAGTGACACTCATTGAAAGCGCCTTCCCTGCCGCTGCTGCTGCTAGCAACAAGTGGAGCAAAAGCACCCAGTCCGCCCACAGCAGGGGCAGGGCAGCTCTGGGGGAGATAAGAGTTGCTCCTGCCCTGTGCAAGCCCGTCCTGGGCATGGCACACCCCAAAGCCAGGCAGCAGCCAGTGGAGTGGAGCAGAGCATGGCACCATGGTGGGTCACACAGTGCCTGAAGCTGTGGCAGAGGGCAGGGTTTCAGTGAGCAAGGCCACCTCTTGGAGCCATGGCTGAAATGCCAGCAAGTGCCCACAGCCAGCGTCCTACCAGTGGCTCTCCATACTCAGGCTGCTCTCTGCATGGGCATTAAGCTCACCAGACTTTTCTTTTGGTTGTTTTATTTTCTCTTAAGGAAACTCTAAGGTGAAGGGCTGAGGCTAGACAGCATTTGGTGGGAGAAAACAAGTTAGGAAAATGTCATGCCAAGAGACCACCTCACCACACTACCTCAGCACAGCAGCCCTGCCCACCTGAGAAAGACGACTGCAGGCACCCCAAGACATGGCTGGGCATAGGCTGCAGCTCTGTGCTCCCACCTGCAAGGGCTACATTTCCTCTGTGAGAGCTGTCACACCCCCCAGGAGAAAGACAGAATAAACAATGGCTCCATTTACCAGAGCTGTCCTGGGCAGCTCTGTTAGCACTACAGGCTTTTCCTCATTCCATTATGGATCTGGGACATGTTCCCATTTCTATTCCTACCATTCCGCTCTGGGGCTTTACCCATTCACAGTGGCCTCTCACTGGGCACCCAAAGCACACCCCAGGCCCTGGCCAGCCTTGAAGTTCAAGGGAGACTGCAAGCCCTCAGTCTGCCCTGGCAGAGAGCAGCAGCAGAGGGCTGGAGGAGGAATGGGAAAGGAAAAGCTATGGGGGTGCAGAGCACCGTCAGGTGGTGCAGGGATACAGAACAGGCAGCTGAGGACAGGAATTAATACACAGGAGGTGGGCGGGCGAGAGAGTGAGAAGCAAATAGCAGCAGATGAAGGGAGGACCTGGAGTCAAGCAGAAATTAGCAAAAAGTCTGCAAAGAAGAGACAGAAAAATAATCAGGGTAAGTAAGTGGTGCAGCTGAAAAAAAAACAATGGCATGAATAAAGGTGGCACAGGTGCAGTCAGGAACACAGCAACTGGGCAAATACAGGAACATGGTGAACACTGGCAATTGCATAAATGGGATAAATACTGGGTTGATATGGGAGTAACTGCTGAATTGGGTTCTCTACCCAGGGCTGCCTCCACAGCTCCTACCAGCAGCACTGGGACCTCAGGAGGCAGCAGCTATAAAGGGAACTATTTCTTCCTCAGTGGTGGAAAAGCCAGCTGTGCCACAGCAAGAGGCCCCAGCACAGGACACTGCCCTGAGGGGAGGCTGGAAAGCACAGCAGAGGAAGCGCGGCCCTTGTAACTCAGATACTTTTTCACAGAAGCTGCTGTGAGATTTACTGGGAGAGCACGGCTCTGCAATGAGTTCCTCTGTGCTCCCTCTGCTTGGAGTAAACTTTATCCTTTCTTCCCATCCTTCTCTTCAATTGGAGGGAGAAACAGCAGCAGCCCATCGTGGAGATCAAAGTTTTAGCAGGCAACAAAGACCTCCGAGGAGGCTGTTGCCATGGCTACCTTGGTAATGGAGGTCTTTTAAATCATGCCAGCCTCCTTTGTGAGCAGCCGGCAAGTAAGGAGGAAAAGAGGGGTAAAAAACCTTGGCAACAAGTAGCACTCCTAAATGGTGTGAAATAAATAACTAGGAATAGGCTGGGCCAGGACAAGGGGGATTGGGCCTGGATTACAAAACCAGCAGCACAGTGGCCCTGAGCAGGCCAGCGGTGCCCAGTGAGGACAGGATTTCAGTTTGGGGCTGGGAGGACACAAAAGCCTTTCCTGGATTTTTAAATGGAGGGCTCTCATGCCACTTCCATCACTTGCTGGCACTACCTGCCCTTGGTGACAAAGGCACAGCCCAAGGTTGGAGAGACCTCAGTGTGAAGTTGCTTACAGACACCTAGCTGGCCCAGATCTGTTCCTCTCATCCCCAACACATGGCCAACAGGACTGACATCCCTGCCAACTGCTGTGACCAGGTACTGGCTGAGATGCTACTGGCAGCTTTTCAGTAAAACAGAGCAAAATCCTAAAACCAACCTCTTGTAAGGGAAAATTCTGCCAAGGACTTCTCTGTCTCCAAAACTTTTATATTACAGACTCTCCGGGCACACAAGAGACTCCAAATCTGGCTATTTTTATGCCAGCTATTGAGTCACTTTGCTGAGTAAGAACTGCCTTATTAGCACTGCACACCATACACACACATCCCAATAGAGATGTATCCTCTCTGAAAGTCAACACACGTCTCTATTAGTACATTAATTACTATGCAATATGCTGTGTATATATCTACATTCTTTCTTACCTATGGGTGTTAGACTTAATAGATTTTGGGTTTAGCCTTCATGGATATTGGCTGGTAATACAAACTACCAAAGATGTGAGTTTACCAAGGCTAAGTGCTAGCTGACTTCAGAAATTAACAAAAGCCTCAAGTGCTAACTGCTGTTATTTAAAGCCTAACAAAGGCAGAAGCTGAAGCTTCTAAAAGATTAATTATCAAATAATATTTCACTAATATATAATTTATGTAGTATTAGCTGCCAAATTGGATGGAAAACACAAGCAGGCAATAGACATCTAGCAAAGCAAGTGGATCCCTAACCAAAGTATCAAACTGACAACTGGGATTAGCAGATCAGTTTCCTGCCTCTTCCAGGAATTCGACATATCCTTGGGAATGAAGCCTGTTCCATGATGCATGCCTAAGCTGTGTAAAATCTCATAATGCCAACCCTGCACGGACCTATGCATTTCAGGATAGTCAGCTGCGCCTACCTATCCCTAACAGCCACTGCCATGTAGCTGTACCAGCTTGTGAAGGAGCAGTATAGCTCCTTTCACAGGACCCTCACCCGATTAGTACATTCTGACCCTCAGGAAGGCTTACTGGGTTATATACAATCCCATGCAAGTAAGATAGTCTGCTTCCTGATGTGAGCTGGGTCACATGAAGCTAGGACGGGGTATCCACTGACCTGTACTTCTGATTCTGAGGTTACTCCAGGCACACAGCATCCACTGCACTGGTACCCTTGCAGTTCCCTTCAACAAAAGCTGCAATGAACAATTTTACTGAAGCTCACTGACATTCTCAGATAAAAAGCAGTAACACAGGGGCTGTGAAAACAACTTGATTAATAGCACTGTGCTTCAAGAAGCAGGACACACAGCTGCTAGCTACTAAGGTGGAAATGCAGACTTCCTTCAAAATAAGATTTGGCCTTTTTGATTCAATTGAGCATCACTTGACTCTTGCTGTGGAGTTGTTAAGCTCTGTACTAGTCTAGTACTGCTGCAGCAGAAGCATAGTTCTTATCAGTCATGCTAGACCCTGTTTGGAGATTCCAAATACCACTAAAATACAACTATTTTATAAAAGCATGATAACAGTTTTTAGTTTAATTTTTTCCTCACTCTGCAGGAGGCTCACTACCAGCCAACCTCCTTCTGTGCTTCTGAGACACAGAGGTTACCACCCCTCTTCCCTTGCCTTCACTGATTCCATTAGAGAGGGTTAAAATCCCTGACTAAGCAAAACCTACTGAATGGTCCTTTCAGCAAAATACATAAGCACGTGCTTAACATCAGGTATGCCTTATAAATCCTATCAGCCTTGCTGTGCACAAATGGATATAAATAAATGCTTATATGCTTTTCTGAAATAGGCCTGAAAGGAAGACAGCACATGGGATTCTCTGATTTTGTCCATCTGCTTTGCATGTCAACACCACATACCCAGGTGATAAAACTCAACATGCAATCCCATCGTGACCCAGGCCGACTTAAGTGAAGGACACTAAAGACTGCACTGGAAATCTGTGATTGCTTCCCTCAGGGAAAAAGAATACTGTAATTTTTTTGTGTTTTAGATTTTGCCTCAAGTTGTGAATAAAGCGACTTTTGATCAATTTTACCACTGTAATTCACTGTATAAAGCAGGATCCTCCACTTCTAGGTAAGGAGATTTCCTCTAATTTGTTCATGCTATAGGTATCCACCATTTTTGCTTCTCAGACCTTTCAAGGTTTCTAATACACTATACTGAACTGCCCTGTCCAACAGGATCTTTTCTAACCTAAACACACCTTTCAACTTGGAATTAATATGAAACTACTAGAAGGGATGCTTTCCTATTTCCTTTTCTGTTCTGATTTTCCTGTCTTTCCCCATTGATAGCATGAACCTCTGCTCTATTCAATGGTCTAATTTATGCTTAAGTCATGCAGTAGCTCCAAAACAAGCAATGTCAATTATATTTGAAAGACCACTGTCAGCAGGGAACAAACAGCAATGTGCTGTGGGAACTGTATTGTATCTTGCAGTGTATTTTGCAGACACTATCCTTCCACTGCTCCAACTGCTCTAACAGGGAGTCTGGGTTCACTGAAAGAGCAGCAAACAGCAAAACATCAAACAAAACCCTTTTACCACATGTCCCTTAGGACTGTAGAATTGCTCCAATCTTCATCTGTACTCACTGCCTCCCTCAAAGCAGTTGGACGAAATAAAAAATGTCCCAGAAGATGCCAGAATGTTAAGAAATGGTATTTTCACCACTGGCTGCTTCCTCCATTAGCCATCAATGGGGAGAGGTAAATGAAAAGAAAGAAAAAAAATAAGAGCAAAGGGAAAAGGGAAGTGGGAAAGATTAAGGTGGGAACGGGAAGGGAGGGATGAAGGAGGGGATGAAAATGAGTAGGTAACCTGGAATCACTCTGAAAGCTGGAATGTTGCCTCCATACACACTACCCAGGAAAAGAAAGACAACCAAGCTGCACCAAGCAGCATGAGGCAGAACAAAGTATCCTTTCATGCTGCTGCCAAACTTGGAAGAGTGCTGCACAAAGCACAGGGTCAGACCCACAGGCTGAACAGAAAAGCAGATGTGGTCAAGCTACAGCCTAAGCTACATGTTTCCTCCCACTGTAACTACAGCAAACTGGGGCCAGTGACACCATCAAGGAGAGGAGAGGACGTCTTTATTTTCCCTCCCACATAGTCTTCTGTACGCACTGAAAAACAGATTCTTCCTGTTACCATGGCATTGTTTCATCACTGATATCTGAGCAGAGTGTAGACACACAGAAGAGGAAGACACCAAATCCTGTACAGGAAGGTGAAGAAGGGACTAAATTCAGCAGCCATCACCATACAGTCACAGACAGCTCCTCTGGAGATGCTATGGAACAGCTACAACTGCCACCTGGTAGACAGAACCTCACCTGAACTAACACAGTTCAGTCTTGGGCCTGTTATTAGCTAGCATATGATACACAGTCACACTGGGGATTTAGACAGGGCTGTGACACTTTTCTGGAGGGATCCATTCTCCAGCTGTCCACAGCTTGACTGACATCTGAAGGAGTAAGGATGGTACTGTCACAGTCACTCACCCATTCCATCTGGTTTACTTTGAGATGACAACTACAGCTCCAAGCATAAATGCCAATTAAACTCTGACCCTAGCCAGGAGAGTAGGGGCACTTGACAGACATGTTCTGTAGTATGCCTTTAGGTATCACCTACACACCATAGATCCAAGCCTTTTCCTTCACAGATCGACAGGATCTGTAGACCCAAGAACCATGCAAGCAAACGGTGGTGTCAGCAGGTTTTAAGGTAAGTTTTGGAAAAATTCATCTTACTCTTCTGGGGCAGTCTAAGGGGCAAAGTACTAAAGCTGGCTCACCCAAGTGTCAACCAATGTCCCTGAAAGGCCCATTCCACTCCTCTTTTCTGCCCTAGTGGGAATGGGTGCTTTTCCAACCTTTACAGTGAGATGAACTGTGGAAGCTATCACTGAAAGCTAACCCTGCAAACAGGAAAGAAACTGATCCTGCTCACCATACTGCTCAAGCGATCTTAACAAAAACGGGGCCAAGCATGCTGCAAGGAGAACAGGTCCTTTTAGTGGCAGCACCAGCTTAGACCTGATTAAGGTGGCTGTGAAACTGCACCTCTAATTGAACAAGTATAATTATGGAAAGACAAAAATCTCCCATATTGACACACGCAAGCAGATAAAACACAGTGCTTCTTGACATCCTCACAGGTCAGCAGAAAGGGCGAAGGAAATGTTAAAAGACTGCAAAAAGCATACAATTTTATATCTTTTGGGTGTCTATTTTTAAGAGACTCTGAATCAAGTGTTCACTTTGCTGCAAGTTTATTGTTTTATGCCTTAAGAACAAGGGTTCTGATTTTCCACAGCCCTGCACTTTGCTGTAGTCATTTATGCCAGTGTAATGTGTTAGCAATGTGGGTGTAAACATTACTATTCTGGTTTGGTAGCATTTGCCACCCTCTTTGTCTAGGTGTGAATGACTGCACAGGGTGCAAGGCAATGGTGAAAGTACTGTTTTACATAGATCTTACACCCAGAGTAATATGGTGCACAGATATGTAAAGAGAGCAAGAGTGCAGAAGGAAAGATATATCACCTATGTGCTGAAAAAGCAACCTGACAAGAAGGTTTACCAAGCACAAGCAGTTCCACCGATTCTTCATTCTTGCCCTCCACATCATCCGGTGTGATAATAAGGCAGTAATAGAGCCCACTGTCTCCCCACATCAACTTCCCAATTTGAAGGTCTGCATCTGAAAGGCAAAAAAGAAAAGTCAGGCTTTCCTTCCAACACCTATGGGAAGAGTGAAGTGTTGAAAGCACTGGGTCCATCTCTGTGTCCCAAATCCATTTCATTTCCTTACTAAGAAGGGGGGCTAACTTTATCCAGAATATCACAGTACTCAGGAAAAAAAAAACAACAGGCTCTGTGGCTGGAGAAGACAGGTAATGCCACAAGAGACAGCTCACTCTGCAAGTCCAAAGAGCATAAGAGGTAATCAGTGTCACTCTCTGTCCTTCCTGACACTTGAGCTTGGGATCCAACAGTATTCTTGCCATGCAAGAAGTGCTTAGACAGTATCTCCTCCACAGCACTTCAGTCATCTGCTGAAGAGGTTACACAGAGACAAAGGAAAACACTCCCACTTGCTGAGGCTGAAAACATACTCTCCACACGAGGGAGCCTCTACTTTGGGCTTGGTGGTCTCCCAAGCCAAGCAGAAGCCTTGTGCTTTTGAGGGACAAGGTTTCCCACACGTCCTTCGAGACCAAATGTTTAAAGGACCCTGCAGCCCGCATGTCCACCCAACCTGACTTCACCCCATGAAAAACTCTTCCTTTCACACTGCTGAAGGTTGCATGGGTTTAGGTTCATGACAGCATAAGCTAGTGAAGTCCAGAGTTGAGCAAACACGAGATGTAGAATAACTTTGGTATTTCGGAACTGGTTAAAAAAATCAGTGAAGTTTGCAAGGAAGAGAAACCTAGTGCATGGAGACTGAACCTATACCTTTCTTGCTGGTGCCGCTTTGTTACGTAAAATCTATGCAGAGACCAATATGCAGAAGCCAGAAATAAAAACCTGTTCTTCAAAGGGAAAAGAATACTGTGTGAGGGCTGGAGAGCTACATGAAGTCATATGAAGGGATGCACCAAAGGAAATTAACTTTGGGTCTAGGATTGGTTGGCTATATCCTAAATGTCTGACATCCAGCACGCTTTTCTAAGGGAGTGAATTGAACAATTTTACTGCCAGCTTCCAGTATCCCAAATTGCCAAGGGTCCGTTCTAACCCGCAACAAGCATCACTGGGGTGGAAGAGTTACCGTGGACAATGCTGATGTCTCTTTCCTTATAGAAGTCCCCTATAGTCACAGCAGATCCTTGTTTGGAAGCCACAACTCGGACTGTCCTCCTGCTGTCCACACAGTCCAAATAGGGATCCCAGTCCAGGTTCCTCTTGCTCATTGTTTGTAAACCAGAAGTCGCCATCCCCAGAGCTTCTCCCACTCGGTCCTGGCAGTACGATTTAAACCTCCACTGCACGACAGCTGGTTGGGTAGAAGAAGTGGAGAAATGGCAGCGAAGCAGAGCAGGCTGAAACAACATGGCCACCTTCTTCTTCTCAGGCATGGTAACCTGCAAGCCTTCCACTTCAGCTAAAAGACAAAAGCATGAGCGTCATATGCCTTGGCATTACCTGAAGAGGAAGCTACTGCATTTTATCATAGCACCATTTTCCCCACGTACATAAAATTAAACTATCTATCTGTTTCAGGTGCTAGGGTGCAATAACTCCTCAAGAATAGGTATTGGCAGCAGAAGTTTGCTTTTTTCATAGCCTACAGCCACAGGGAAAAATACAGCATGATGGGGCTAAACACTCAAATGTAATATCTTTATGCCTTATAGATAACCTAGCCCAGTGGCATGACGACTCATGGCTTCTGTGGCAGGTACACAGACAAGGAAGAGGTGTTTTAGGGATGGCCACACTTTGCTTCTACAGCAGGCCTGCCAAGGGGCCAGATCCTGAGTTCACAGCAATCCCAATGCAGAATAAGTGTGCCCCCTCACAATTCTGGTGGCATCATAGCTCCTCTCTGAAAGTCAGGCAGCATGCAGTGCCTGGCCCAGCCCGTGGTGCACTGGTGCCCAGCTGGTGGTGCTTGCTCTGCCAAACTCTAGAAGTGCATGAAGGAGTGGATCCAGAATCACACAGCTCCTGCCAGGCCTGGCGTATAGCACTGAGAGAAACTGCTCTATGTGGGAGATGCAGAGAAAAATGGCCCAAACACTGAAGTTTGTCATATTCCCAGGGAGGAGATGGATCTCAAAACCCAATCTTTATCTACCAGCTACAGGAAAGCTGCTGCCCAGAGCTGACATATTTAAGCCTTGGAGAAGACGCATGGGAATGCTCCTACATCCTTGTGTAGCTTAGGGAAAAGCCAAGAGCAATGCCAGCATAGAGCTCTCAGGAGAATGAGGTACTTCATCCACCTACAGAGGAATGGCCAAAACCTCGCATGCATGTCCTGCATTGCTTCCCTTCTCCTTGTGCTGCACAGCAATGACTGAGAGCACTTACACATGCTGGAATACATTCTGACACTTCCCCAGGCAGGGATGTGCAGCCTGTGAAACAGCCCAGGCCAGGGGCAAGGAGAGAGCAACTAAGAGGAAGTTTCTAACCAGAGGTGTTTTCTGCAGCTGAGGGGCAGCAGTACCTGATGGTGGAGGTTCATAGGAGAAATGGGATCCAGTTTCAGTACAGGAAATTATGATGGCAGCTCCCTACATGCAATTACCACACATCCCAGGGCACAGCGAAAAAGGGGACAAGACACAAGGAAACATGCAAGAGAATAAAGCAGAAGAATGTGTTCACGCAACATGAAGAGGGACTTATGGACTTTAGGGGAAGCTAAGGGAGGAATCAGAAGACAGGACAAAAAAACCATTCCTGATGTTGGGAAACAGAAGCAGAGAAGGGCAAAAGCAGAGAAAGAAGAGTAAGTATAAAGTATCAGGTTAAGTATAGGAAGCAGAAGGATAGGCAGGGTGACAATCATGGAATGTCATGTTTAACCAAGAAGCTTATGTTCAGCTGGAAGAAGCTGAAGAAGGGCCCTGGAAGGGCTGTCTCTGAAGGGCTGGAGCCAGGTTGAAAATTAAGAAATGATGTAGAGAGGAGAGGAAATAGAGTCAGCAAAAATAAACCACCCGCTCCAGAAAGCAGGGATGAAAAGGAGATGGAAGTTGGCAAAAGAAAATGATATGACAGGAGATATCTTTGGGATGGGGAAAAAAAAAAAAAAAGTAGACTCAAGTACTGGAGCTTAAAGCAGAGAGAGAGCCATATATGTATCAATGGTATAACAGCCAGCATGAAGGGACAAGATCAAGTTGGAGACAGCCACAGACCTGAAAAGTAAAAGCAAGAAAGAGATTCATGATCAGAAGTCAAAATCAAAGGAAAGTGAAGAGGCTGGACCAAGAATGAATATTCATTTCAACAAATTATCAGAGTCCAAACCATAAATCACAATGAAGTCAGGGGATAAAAACACAGTATGGAAAGAACCTAGTGGAAAGCACATTGCAGAGAGGCAAGACAGTCACTGATAATAACAAAGACTTAGCAATCTAGGCAGGATTTGATCCTGGGGACTGCTGTGTGAAGGCTTACAGTGCAGAAGGGTGCTATGGCGTTTGCAGAGGGATGCATTACACTACCCACATCGTACTTATGCCATGTGAAAGCAACACAGGAGATGTCATTACTTCTGCCAGAAGTGCCGTTAAGTGTGGGTGATCTCCAGAGTACCACAAAACACAGGTGAGGTCCCAACAAGATGCTGCCACAGGAGAGGCAGTAGCATTAGGCAGCTCCTCCACTTTCCCAAGGAACAGGTAGAGAGGTAACTCCTTTTCCGAGGGACTAGAGGGGCAGAAACATGGGGGCTACATGGCACTAAGAAAATGTCACCACTTGCTTCCCAAGGTGAACCAAGCAGTGATGTCTTATTCTTTCCTCTCCAGAGACCTGTGCTTCCCAGGTTGTATCTGAATGCAAGACACATGACAAGCACCTTGAACAAATGGGTCCAGGTGAGACCTGCATCTGGCAACTCTATGCCTGACCCCATGCAGCCTGTGGCCAAAGCCAGCTTGTGATGTGAGCTGATCGATCAAGTGACTCATCATGTTACTGCAGCTTCAGGGACAAAAGAGTGACACAATGAATATTTAAATCTTTCCCTTGTGAACAAAGTATGCTGCTTACTAAACACAGTGCTTTCAGCTAAAAATGCACCACAGCCCTCCTTCCCTCTTAATGAGATTTATGAGTTTGGCAAGCCAGGGACTGCTTTACTAAATGATTAACTGAGCTTTAGCAAATTCTCATCTAACTTTCTCCACCCACCCTCATGTGAATATCTATTTCAAAAAAAGCAAAGCAGTTGGGAAAACACAGAAACTCTTTTTCTACCCAAAATCATTTGGGAAATGTGCAGTGAATTATCTGGCATCTTCTATATTCTATCCCAAACTCTTTATTAACATTTGAAGTATTATTTTCAGATTCTTTCCAGAAATAGTATTTTAGGAGCAACACAGTGCCTCCGATTGAGAGACTGGAGCAGTGGAAACTCTATTTAAGTCAAATTATATATAATTATGGCTGAACTGGGAAATTATACACCTGTTACTTCCTCCGTCAAAAAAAAACGTGTCAGAATCGATTCATGTAGTACGTCATTGCTGTAACAGCATCCATCAAAAGGGCCACCAGGATATTCAGCTGCCTGAAGACAAGATGGTGGATTTACAACCATCGTACTTCTTTGTCTAGTTTAGTACAAGAAGGACTAAAAAGAAACTGAATTGTGCTCTGCTGTTTTGACTAATGCAGCCAGAGCAAGATAAGCCCTTATTTCAAAAGCATCATGGAAATGTACTTCTTGCACTCCAAAGAAGCAACCTGTTCATCGTGAATTTCATGATGTTTGAACTTTCACAAGAAAAATCTAACTCTAATCATGAGAGTAGTCTCATAAATACATGACAATTTTGATTACCTTTTTTCTGTTCTCCTAAATCCCCAGAGAAAGGTCTGCAAATATTAATCAAGTGCATCTTAAAAACAACAGATATACTTCCTCTCAAAGAATAAAAGGATCCACCGGTTTGTGTATCTGGGCATGTGTATACACTCACAGAGAAAGAGCTTAAAAATAATCATGCTTCAGAAACATAATTGCATGGGGTTTGTCTGTTTCTCATTGGCAAAGTATATTTGTCTCCTTTCTCTGATTCTTTTCCTGAACCGTCCTCAGATTATGCATTCAAACTATGCAATCAACATTATGCACAAGCTATCACTAATACGTTCTAGTGGTGATTAAAGAGAATTCCAGGAAGTGATTATAAAGGGGATATTGGTATGGGCACATTTGAGCCTTGTGAGCCTGATCTTCATAAGCACCTTCCACGAGCAAGAGAAGGCAACTGAGAGGTGGTAACTTAGGCTCTTGCTTTTCAGTTGCCCCTGGAGAAGCCTCCCTGAGGCTAGATGAATCCTAGGAAGATTTAGCTTCAAAACCTAGCTTTAAGTTAGCCCTTTTGAATAGAATCAAGAATCATGGAATGGTTTGGGGTGGAAGGAACCTTTAAAGATGATGTAGTTAGAAAAGGGTTGATCAGAAGCACTAATGCCTGTAAATAGTGGCAAGGCCAAACACTGTAGTTCAGTGTAACAAGTCTCAGACTGCATTCTTCTGGCATGTAAGATTTGAGTCCAAGAGAAGGCAGCACACATTACTCTTCAGGTCAGCACGGGTGTCCATATCTGCTGATACATCCTATCTCTTTCTTTGCTATTACTTGGCTCATTCTACCACTTGCCTGAGACACTAAAGCTGATGCTGTGAAACCACAGAAATTACACCCTCCAATTTTATGCAACTTTCTCGATAGGACTGGCAGTTGTGCACAAAGAATGGAAGTCCTTGTGCCCTCAGCCATGCACCTCTGGAAAACTACTCCTAGACTATACCTAAGGGCTTTGGCAGAAAAGCATACATTCATTGGTAAGAGGTAGTGCTCCTAGGGTCGTTTGTATCACTTCCCCAAACAAAAAATGCTGAGCTAGGAGATGCTGTATCTTTTTCTGCACCTTGGCTACTATGCGTAAATAAAACTGTTCTTTCCCCCATTGCTGAATACAGACATACCATTCCAGGAAATGGAAGATCTGGACTTTGAAAAGTCAAAGATGATAAACAGATGTGTAAACAGGTGACTGGAGAGCCAGTGGGATCACTGAGATTGTATTGTACAGATTCTTGCCTACTCATGCTGGACTAAAGCCAATCTATGCAATTTATTAACAAAAGCCATCACCATCAGATTATGTTGAGTGGTTTATGGGAAATGAATTGGATACCTTGGTTTGGTTCCTATCAGACATGTGTTCTTAGCAACCTGGCATCTAATTGTCAACTTTTTTTAGCTAGCAAGAAACCAATGCCTAACTAGGTCAGCAGCAGCTGAGGTGAAAGCATGGCACTGCTTTTTACAGCTCCATAGCAAACCCGAAAATTTCAGCTCCCTACCTGCTTAACCTGGAAAGGGGCAAAACCAAAGCACTCAGAGAAAAGCACAACCTTGCACACCCAGCACTCACAGCATAGAACCTCAAAACAGAACACTCCATGTAGGACATGGCCCAGACTCTTCAAACTGACTGCAGCAGGCTTTTTTTTTGCTCTCCCCATTCTCTGTGATGCTGTCCTCCATGCTCCTGACTTATCTAAGGAAGTACACAGCCCTGAAATGTCAGAAACTGTGTAAGGGCTTCTCCAAGAACTCAGGACATTCCACAGGCTTTCCTAGGTATTGGGGCCTCTACACCAGCTTTCCTGCACTCATTACACTCTTTAACCACCTGCCCCTTTCACACATTCACAAAAGTCACCCTGGATGCTTTCAGGTGAATTATCTCAGCTTTGGCCACGAGATCAAATCCACCTTGTCTGAAAAGCTGTTAGAATTGTCACGTGGCTCCTAGTTTACAGACTTGGTTCAGCATCCCAGAAATCACTCCCAAAACTATCACTCAGCAACTGGTCACCACTAACTTTTGAGAAAGAAATGAGAAGAGTCTCTCCAAACCTTGTAGTACCAAGCCTGTCTTTGGGATAGCACTGGGACTTCCACTGCTGGCAGTCCTGCTCAAGGTGATCTCAAAGGAGTAAAAAGTAAAAAAAGTATGAGATTTCTTCCCAGTTACATGCTGTGTGCCGCCAGTCAAGGAAGTCTAATGAACACTTTAACTCAAGGCAGATAAAACAGTCCATCCGTTTCCCTGTCTTCCCAAGAAGTCTCTTCTGCTGGCCAGGAAACAGTAAAGCACAACTGTGCTCCAGCATGCCCCCTCTGCCTGCTCTCCTAAACTGTGGCTGAGAAAGCAAAGGTAAATCTACCCACCTTTGTAGTGTACCATTGCATTGCTGAAAAACTGCTTAACAGGAAGAGAAGATCACATTTTAATGTGAACAGTCTTCTAAGGGTCATCTTTCCAAGCTTATCCTGAGTCATGAACCAGAAAAATAAAACGTGCTCTGCTTGTTCTATAGGTAAAACTGGAGTTCAGTCTTCACTTCTCTCTAGTTTTAAATCATTAGGAATTGCAGCTTTCATACGAATAATGGTAAATAAGAGGGGAGGATTCATTCCAGAATCAAGATGCAGTTGGTGATTTACAAGAACCAGCTTTATACAGGAGCTTAAGGATACTTGGCAAATTGTACCTTCTTTTTCTAGAATGAGAACACAGTCCCACACATACTTAAACCCATGTCACTTCACAGGAAGGAATAAAGGGTGACCATCCCTTTGCTGTTGTCACTCAAGCACCAGCTTTAGGCACGTGGGAAAGCAGGGCAGGAGGATGAGAGGCCAAACCAAAACCACTGCATCTCACAGATTTTTTTGAAATTCCAGTGAGAAGTCACAATGCACAAAACAAAACAAAAGATAAATGCAGGAGCCAAAAATTAAAGACAAACAAAGGACTGAGAAGAATTCATGCTGGGAAGAAAGGAACCGTGAGGGCTTGTTAGACATTTCTCAGTCCACCTCAAAGAGGGAGGAGGGGAGAGAAGGGGGCGAGAGCCTCTTGCTGCCTTTTGTTTCCCTGCTTCCTCCCCATTTTCTACTCTGTGTCTTACCCTGGCCCCTGCACTTCCCAACCCCCACTTCTCTTTTCCCAGAGTGGAGTGTACCACTCGGGATGGATTAGGGCTCCCTACCTTACTGCAGACCTTTCATTCCTTCGCACAGCCACTGTGGAGAGGAGAACCTTGAATCCATGTTTGCTAGCCTCTCTCCCTTTTCTGTACACACACATAGACGCTCACACTCACACACACACCTTTACTTGTTTGCTTTCCCCCAGTCATGGAAGACGACAGCAGCGCGGGCTCCATCGCTGGGCGGCAGCGGCGAGAGGCTGGAGGGCAGCAAGCGGATATTGGCTGCCTCCCTCTCTCAGCACACGGCTGCAGCTAACCTGTTGCCTGCCAAAAGCCTTTGCCTGCCTGCGGCTGACAGCACCAGCAGCAGGCAGATCTGTCTCCAAGTCCAGGACTAGAGGAAACTGGAAGGTTTTCCTACTGCAGCGATACCTCTCTCTCCATGCTTCAAACAGCGGTAGCTGCCGGTAACCATTAACTACTTTTAATGGAGGGAGAAAGGTGTCAACAGCCCAGCCTTTCAGCTTGACGGAAAAGTCCTGACATGTCCAGATAATGAAGCTCTTTAAAAAGAGCGAGGAATGTAATGTCAAGTTTATCTTTACCCTATACTCCTCCTACCAGTCCCCCTATGTTATTTCTCAGCATACCACTATGGCTAGTAGGAAAACAGTGGTAGCTGTGGATGGGCTGAACTACAGACCAACTCAGTGAAGTGGGATACGTTTGGAACCAGCCAAACGGCAGGGAGGGAGGCAAGAAAGGAGAATGAGCTAGGAGCTGCCAAAGCCCCGATGCGGCCATGAAACCCTGGAAGGGAACAGTAGGCAGGCACTGGTGTTGAAGATGACTCAGAGTGCAAAAGCAAGTTGCAAAAGCAAGGAAAGTGGTAGGTGGGTGGTGGGAGAGAGGTGTTATGACTAAGAGCCGAATTTACTGCTTGTGAATCCTAAATCTGAATAGGAAGAGGGAAAAGGCTGAGGGTTTTTTCTTTTTTTGGGGGGGGGCGGGGGGGGGGGGTGTCTGTTTGGTTTTGGTTTTGTGGGATACACTGGTGGTGGTAGGAAATAAATGCCACTTAATCCAAGTGTGTCTGCTGCTTCTTTCAGCCTGTAACCTGCCTGCCTAAAACCAGCCCGCTGAAGCTTTTCCTAAGGAATGCTCCTGCCTGTGCCTGGATGCTGCACCAGCTCACAGGAGTTAGCAGATCCTGTTTCTCCCTGATTCCCTGCCGCTCTTATTCTGCCGTAAACCCTACCCTCTCTTTTCCTTGTTATCCAGTTTTTAGATCCAGCTCCTTTTCAGCTTGTTCCCTCTCCCCTCCTCCTTGCTTAGGAAGGGCTAGCTCGACGTCTTAGGGAGCCAGCCGGGCAGGAGGTGGCCGGTAAACTGCGCTATCGAGCGGGAGTCCCGTCCTGCGCTCAAAGGCCTATGCTGTGCATACTACACCATCACTAGCACAGCCGGATTCTGCCCCTCCCTGGCAGCCCCCTTCTCTCACACCTGTGTCAAACGGAATGCGCGTCCAGGACACCGGGAAAGGAGAAGTTCCTGCAATTGTTCCCGGCCCGGCGTGGGAGCCGAGGGCTGTCGACATCCCCCCTTGCACCGCAGCCAAGGACGCTCCGGCCTCCCCCTGCTCTCCTGCTGCCTCCCCGGGCTAGCTCCCACCTTCCCAGCCACACAGCGCTCCTCCCTCCCTTAGCGCCGCGGTAAACACTGGCCCAACCGCCCCCCGCGGGCAGCAGCGCCGGTGCCCTGAGGACCTGTCCTCTTCCGCCCGGGTAGGAGGCGCCGGCTGCCTCCCCCCATCCCCAGCGAATCCAGCGCTCTCCGCGAAGTGTCCGCAAACTGCACGGCGGGACGCTCCCGAAAAGCCTCCCCCGGCCGGCTCGCTCCACAGTCTGCCGCGGCACATCCCCAAACCTCCCGTTCTCATCCTAGAGAAAGACGTAGAGCCCGCCGAGCAAGGCGCAGCACAAAGCACGTCGGGGCCACCGAGACACCCGCGGCCAGCAGCCCCCGCCCTACCTGCTAGCCACAGAAGGACGATCCAGCCCAGAATGTGCCCATCCATCTTCCCGCTGGCCCGGGCGGGCGGGCGGCAAGCGCGGGGCGGGGGCGCGCCAGGGCGGGCACGACCATGCCGAGGGGCGGTGGGAGAGGCCCAGGGGGCGGCCCCGGCCGGCGCGCCCGCAGCAGCCTCCCCTCGGAGCCTGCCGGGCTGGCGGCGAACGTTCGTGCTGTGTGCCTCCGCTCTTCCCCTGCTGCCGGCCCCTGCGGCGGGGGGGGGGGCACTTGTCGAGGCCAGCCCCGCAGTTGCCCGGGCGGGGGGCAGCTTCCCGAAACTGCTTCCCTAGTACGCTTCCCCTGCCAAAGGCGCGTTGCGATTGCCAGGTGCTGCCGGGGATGGGGGGGGCGGAGCTCGCCTCGGCTTGCGGGCACATCGGCACGTTTCTCTGCAATTCCTTCAAGCCCCTCGCTTCTGCCCCGTCCGGCTTTACAACTTCACTAGTGAACTCTGGGAAATGTCCACTGCGATCATCTGTCCTCCCCGAGTTTAACAAATGTATGCCTCGGGAAATGAATGTAGACAGTTCCAATGAGGAATTTCCCTGGGGTTTCCACTTTCAGCATGGCCACTGATGCAACTAATTACTGTAATTTTAGATTAAGATATGGCTTTGAGCAACCTGGTGTAGTGGACAGTGGCCTTGCCTGTGGCAGGAGGGCTGGAACTAGATGATCTTAAGGTCCTTTCCAACCGAACCGATTCTATGATGTTATGATTCTAACCCAACCCATTTATGATATAATTTTAGATGAAAAGGAAATATTCTGGCTGTTAACGATGGACAGCTAAGTTGTGGGGTGTTAAATTTTCATGCCACCATGACACTGGAAGGGGGTGGAAGTATTTTTGGAGGAAGGGCACAGCCAACAAGAAATACAGCTGAAGAAGATCACTTTTAAAAAGATGGATGTGGCGGTGAAATGAAATGGTCCTGGCCACAGTGAACACACGTATACACACATACTATACTTAAAACCTCTAAACTTCCTATGAAAGCAAAATAAGTCAGTGGAATTGTCCATAGGCCTAAAGCTGGCTAAATAGCAACATGCTCTTTGGTGGCTCAGCACCAGAGAAGCACCTTCAGAGCATCCAGCACAGCTTCCCCTTGCATATTGTTCATCTTCTGGCATTTTCTTTTCAGCCACTTGGCTGGTGTTTGGATTCTGCAGGCATCAGTGAGCCCCTTGCGAGGCGGGAGTAGTCTTCAGCTTCTCATCTGGAATCTGCCACAGAACATAAACAACCTTAACATCCTTCCAGCCCTAACTATTCTATGATTCTGTTTTTTTTAACGCAAAGCTGGGCCCCAGAAGTGTGCCCCACTGCTGAAGGCAGGGTGCACAGGGGTGCTGGAAGTAAAACTGAACAAGCCACTGGCATTCTAGCCAATATTTTCTGACTGCATGTAGATCCCTCACAATTTTGCCTTTCAGACTGAACCTCTCTATAGGCAAGATAAGCTTATTTCCAAAGCGTGAATAAAAATAGATCAATAATTTCTGAGAAAGCAAAACAGCATGTTTGCTATGATAAAAGATGTGTTGAAACATTTTACTTGGTTTTGAACAGTTGCAGTCCCTCTGTTAATAGCGTTAAAGTGGAATTAAGCAAGGAGATAATCCCTAGGCAGCAAGTCTGGGTTTAAGTATTTTATTCAGTGCTACTCAGTGTCATTTAAAAATACTTTTCACACAGAAGTTTGTTTTATTCAACACTGCTTTAAAAAAAAAAAAAAAATGAAAACAAAACCCTACACCCCAATCAGTGTCCTGGTGTTCCTATGACCTAATACATGATGAATTTAACTGTTTTGCAGCACTGGCAAAAAGCCACTGTTAAGAACCAAGACCCTGTTACGCTAAAGAATGTACATACACAACAGCACAGAGCTGATCTCCTTCAGCGCATAGTGACCTGACACCCCACTGCCTCTGGGCAGGTGGAAAACACAGCAGAAACTCATGTTAGGGCCACAGCTTAAACTTTCAGAAACACAACTCGGATGGAGCTGTGATCCTTTGCATCAGTTGAGGGTATGCCTCACCACTGTTACAGATCTATAGGCTGTAATACATGAAGATTTGTATGGGCTGACTCCTGAAAGATGAACACAAAGCTATTTTACTCTCTTTCCCATAACTATTTTTCCTGATAACTCTCAAAACTTCAAGTGAAATCCCAGTGCCTTGACCTTCTGCAGCTTAATTGGCCAGGACCTCATCCAGAGTTTCCTGAAACAATGCTGATGTTGATATGATCTGACTGGGAGCAGTACAATCCCTTGTGCGTCACTATTGTTAGCTATTCCTAGCGTGATTTGTTTGGTTTTTTTACTCTACTCCAGCTTTTGCAAATAAATTTGGCATACATCAGTTTTGCTAAACTTTTGACTCACAACAAAGGAAGGAAAGATTTTAAATAGAAGGAAGAAGCACCATTGTTTTGCCTGTAACATTGGATTTATAGCTGCTTTGAAATTTTCATACTCAAACTCACTGTACGGTTCTTTTTCACTTAATGTGATCGATCTGTCATTTGTATATATGCAGATATGATGGATGCCTGAGCCCTGAATAGATGTTCCAGATCTCTGCAGACCTTTGATCTGAGCATTGCAACATCTGAGCTGGCTTAATAGTTAATGCTGGGATGTTGTCTTTCCTTTTCACTAGTTAGGAGGGCTGCAGTTAGCCCAGTTTCACCTTCAAAGGGTGGGTAAATTTCTGTGCAATTAGCCAGATTGCTTCAAGCCACAGCCCAGCAGGGATTCACTGTCCCCTGAAAACAGCACACTGGTAGACTTCAACCTTTGTCTCCCTCAGTCACTTGATAACCCAAACAGCCAAATTCCCCGTGCCTGTCCTGCATAATTTATCCCCAGACTGAACTGGAAACATACCATGCTACAGCACTGTTTGATATAAGTGATACTGTGGCTCTATCTGGATCAGTTCCCCTCTAAGCAATAGGTTCATGAACAAATTCAGCTAAACAATATAGACACAAACTCACAGTTCATGCTGTAGCAGCTGCTGACTCTTGCCTACTACTTCACTCCTTCCTTTCATCTACTAGCATGGGTCTTTTGTGGTCATTTCCTCTGTTGATAAGGAAATGACCTTATCATGATAAGCGGAATCAGCTTTTTAAATTACCAGATGGAATAATTTACACCAACACCTCACTCTGAATGACCCATTTTAGCAACATCCCTGAAAACCTTCTACACTCCATTAAGATACTTCTCTTCATGCCTACTTTTGCACGTCCATTCAGCCCCCCAGATTTCCCTTGTAGAAATTTCCATAGAAACAGTGATTTCAACAGCTTTCTGGGATGTCATACTAGAT